TAAGCTTATTAGTCGCTTTTCTTCCCAATGCAACCTAAACTAACTTACGACAACATCCCTTATCACAATAAAAAGATATACATAAATTAAACTAAATCGTGTTCGGTTTTTTTTTTAAATTGTTCGATTTCTTTCGCTATTAATGAGCGCTGCGGCTTAACGAGACCTGCTATAATCAGCTTCGCCGCCACCCCTTAACTGTCGCCAAGAACGTCAGCTGACTGACGAGGACGTTCTGCGGCGGCGGCGGCGGCCGCACAACCACTGCAGTTGCTGGCAGCGTCCGCAGCGCAATAAGTAACAGCGCCTGGTGCTGCCAACTCTTTCTCTCTCTCTCCCGCCCCGCCCCCAAGCTCTCGCGCGCCCCGCGTCGACATCGCCGCGCGCAGCTTCCCGAGCTCGAGGCCAGCCGCTGCACGCATGCGCCGGCTCGTCATCGGCTCCGGTTGTTGCCTTTCTCCGCCGAGGTCGGTGGACCCCAAGCCTAGGCTTCCTTCCCACACCCCGCTTTCCGAAGACCGCACACCAGTTGGGCCAGTACATATTCCCCTCCCGTGACTGGAGCGGAATAGCCCTTTCTCTTCTTCCCCAACACTTGTCGTTGGAGGAGTCCCTCAGTCCCTCGCTTTGCTGCCTCCTCCCCCCCCACCCCCAAAGCTTGGAGGTTCCCCGGCAAGGGGGAGGGAAAAAAATTGAAAGTTACACTTTCGTGCGTCCCTCCCGGCGTGACGCTGCGCGCTCACATCACGGGGCTGTAATGGTGGTGTGCCTCGAGATTTTTTTCATCAAACAAGTGTGCCTTTGCCCAAAAAAGGTTGGGAAACACTGGGTTAAAGGGTTATTCACACCTCTCTCCAGCTACTGAAACACCAGTGTCTGTGTGTGTGTGTCTGTATATGTGTGTGTGTGTGTGTGTGTGTGTGCGCACACACACACACACACACACACACAGTTATCTATAATGACAATGGTTATTTTACCAACCTTTTTTCTATTTCAATCTCTCCAAATTCATGTAACTAAAAAAATGGCAAGAGATCTTAAAAAAAAGTATTTGAAATAATAAAAAACCAAGACTTAAAGCTAATATACTCATGATGGGGGGGGGGAATGGAGGTTTGTTTGTGCCAAATTTGCAATTGTGTTATATGTATAAACTCATACAGTGGTACCTCGGGTTAAGTACTTAATTCGTTCCGGAGGTCCGTTCTTAACCTGAAACTGTTCTTAACCTGAAGCTCCACTTTAGCTAATGGGGCCTCCCGCTGCCGCCGCGCCGCTGGAGCACGATTTCTGTTCTCATCCTGAAGCAAAGTTCTTAACCCAAGGTACTATTTCTGGGTTAGCGGAGTCTGTAACCTGAAGCGTATGTAACCCGAGATACCACTGTATATGTATATGAGGGAGGAAATGGAAGAAGCCATTGCATGAAATGGGGCGGGGGAATAGGGCTAATAAAAATAATAATTTTCTGGTGCTCAGTTGGCTAAATATGTGGGATTGATATAAATGGTAAACCCAACTATATTTCCTCCATAATTGCTATGAGTTGCATCCAGATTACCGCTTTAAAAATTGGATTAATTTGTTAAATACAAGGATCTAATAAGAAGATATGATTGAATTCTCGATTGTTGGAAATACCTGCTATTCTGGAAAGCTGAATATTTTCAAGTAATGGTTGAACACCCTCTTAACAGAACAGGTAGATTTTTGTCTGTATAATTCAGACTAGAGTAGCCATTTGCTAGGTTCTTTGTGGCAAGTAATTTACTCACAGACCCCTCAATTCTGCATTCTCTCCTTAGCCATTGGCCCTTTGAGACTGGACACAAGACAGTTGTCACAGGCTCAAAAATAGTTTCGGAAGCTGCATGTGACATGGAGGACTACCACCCTTTGCACTGTGCTGTAATATTGTGCAGTATCAATGGCACTTGTCCAGCCAATTTCCTTCCTAGTATTCTGGGAGAGTGGAAAATATGTTTAGAGATAGGGTAAGGTGTCATAGGAACAGAGTCATGGGGGCTTAGCCACGTGGAGATGTTGCACAACCACTGCACCCTATTTTGACAACGTAACAGTTAATATATTCTTGATTTTGCATGCCACTTCTAGGCCCATTCTGGAAGCTGCAAGCAGGGCTGGCGGTTCACCTTCTGAAATTCTGCTGGCAAGGCTAGTTTAAATGTTAATAGTACGCATGTACCATATATGTAAGTAATTCAGTGTCTCTGTGTTTGAAATTACAGGTGCTGCCTGCTCATTCTGCCTCTGTCTTTAGAGAAGCCACCCATCTTTTTGCCGATTTTAACAAACTGAAACCAGAGGATTTAAGAGTTAATTTAGGAGAGGCTTCTGCTCAAGGAGTGAACTGCCTGAAGCCAGAATACATTGCTGACTATCTTATACAGGTCTGCATGCTAGTAGCAATGTGGCTTTTGTTATTTTTAAGAAAACTTGCCGCATCTCAAAAATCAAAGCTGCTGCAGCAACTATGTGCAGAATTTTGTGTGCCTAGAGCAAGGATTAGGAAACCTGGGGCAATTCCCAGTGGCAGTAGTCAGCATGGCCAATGGTCGGAGGTGATGTGAGTTGTAAATCAGGAACACTGGGAGGACCACAGGTTTCCCACAAGGCCTTTCCCTTTGTATGACCAATAGGAAAGCTGTGTGTGTTGCAGTAGAAAAAGATAGAAAACCTGTTGCCTACCCAAGGCTATGGATTGTGCCTCAGGTGCAGAGATTGTGATGATTACGTTGCTCTTGACCCATTTTCTTCAGCTTAAAACATGGCATTTCAAGACAGGTGGATGTTGTCTTTTTCTTTGCCAGAGCTGGTTAGAACAAGAAGCAAAAAGGGCCAGGTCTGCAGACAGGGCAGACTTTAGCCAGTATTCCTGCTGAAATGCTAGGGTAATAAGTAGGGAAAGAGAATGTCTGATAATGAATTCAAGGGTGCGATATTTGAGAGGAAAACTTAAAAGCCGGAAGCATGAGTTCCTATTGTGGGTGAGTGTGCATGTGTTGGTAATGGGCACTCCTTAAGAACGTCCTAGGTAACAGAAATGTGGGACTAGTGATGGTTTGGATCTTTATAAACTAAACTAAACTAAAATCTTATTTTGAAGGAGCAACCACCTCAAATGGAAGGTTATCGTTTGCTGGTATGAAGATAGGCAGCAGCTTCTGGCAGAGAACATGAAACCCGGTTATCTTAGAAGCAGATATCTCCTGAAGAAACACGCCCGATAAAGCAAGTCTGAGTATGTTGATACCTTAAAAATATTTTTTTCAAATTTCTATTTATACTTGTTTTCTTTCCACATAAAAAGGTCATTAAATGTTTTTGTAATATTTTGTGTATATTGCTTTTAAAATGAAATTTGGTTGCTCAGACACTAGACTCCACTGATTTTTGCTGCCAGGGTAAAGTTGGTTCTTTGAATATTTTAAATTTATTCTTTATTTTCTTAGTAGATTTATATCCCTTTGTGTGGAGCCCAGTCATGCTTCCCCATAGCATATTTTCATCCCTTTTCGGCTGCTTTTACATTTACTTCTAGAATAAAGGATGTTGGACTTACTGTGAAGGTTAGTTCTGCTCAGCTGGAGGTCAGTGATGGAGGATTCCTCCATTTCTGGAGGCTGGACTTTCAGAACCTTCTACCTGTAGGAGCTCCCTCAGTACAGCATTCTTAATAAATTCTAGAAGCCAGGCACTTCAGTATATTGAATGAAATGCAGTATGTTTAATAAGAAGCATAGGAGGGCATTTACTCTCAGTGCAGAACTTTTCTTAGCCCCTGCCCTATTCAGTCATTATTTGCATTTTGAGGCAATAAGAGACTGCTGGACCATGCCTTTAGCTCCCTGCCCTCATACTTAATAAATAGTAATTTTATTATTTATGCCCCACCCATCTGGCTGTGTGGCTTACAGCATATACAAAAAAATTATAAAACACCAGACATTAAATGGTTCCCGATTCTTGTGTTCTTCTGGCTTCCCATGGGCTAAGGGCAATAATCGACAGCAGCAAAACGGCTGTGCTTTCGGCTCCCCATGTAGGTATCTCATTGCTGATTGCAGTAAACAGATGGGAAGCCAGGAGCCATTAGACAATGAGAGCAGGGTTAAAGGTGTGCCCTGGAAACTGCTTGCTGCTCGCAGAGTAGTGATTGAAAAAGGCTCAGCTAGTGCAACCTGAACAAGTTTTGAGGGGAGGAAATAGGGTATTGTAGCCCACTTTCCAAATGTTGCTGGGTAGAATGCTTCTGTTCAGGATTTCAGCTGCTCCATTCCACCACCACCCCTTCCTTTTTTGTGTTCAGTCATCTTGGGTTTATTGGAAGTGAAATCAGCTTTACCCCCTTAATATATTGATTTTCCATTGATTTATTTTGACAGCACTCGCTTCTGTCACCAGGGACATTTTCCCCCTAGCCCCCTTTTTTGCTATTCTGCTGGAGAGGAAATGACCTGTTCAAACTTTGAGGTTCTTTCTACAAAATTTAAGATCTGTAAGCCGCTCTCCCTCCTTCCTATGCAACCATCCAGATTCCTTCTGCCAAGCAGCTCCTCTCAACATTCCATGCCATTTATCCTAATTGGACTGTTGGAGGGACTCCCCCCACCCCATAGACTACCTAACCACTGTGAGAACAAGATACTGCATTAGATGGATCTTCGGCCTGATGAACAGGGCTCTTACGTTCTTAAAGGAAAATAGTGTTTCATAGTTCGGAAGTCGCTATGTAGTTAGTATGACCAAGGGGTGTTAAGACACATGTTAACAATGGACAGTTCCTTATTTTAAACCAGAGATGGGGGACCTGTGACCTTACCCCCAATGTTGTTAGGATTCCAATTCTCATAAACACTAGAATGATCAACCACAAGGGGTGGTAGGAGTGTGTCCCAGGAACATATCGAGGGCCACATGTTCCCCCATCCTGGCTTTAAACATACACTTAAAAACAGTAGATCATACCAGAGGGATAACAAACAGTGTGAACATAAGTTTATTTCATTCAGGGAGTTTACAAAAAAATAATAATGATAATTGATCTTAAGTAATTTCCATGCAAAACCAAAAAACCTTGTTAATACAATTAGAGCTGCACAGTTAATCACATAAAACCAGAAGGGGGATGCATAAAGATTGAAAACTCAACCATGCCTTCTTGCAAAGTCCATTGTTACATGATCCATACATTTAAATAATGTTTTGTAAAGAAGCCTTCTATAGTAGTAGCAAAATACTGTAATGAAAAAGTTGAATAAGGTGACAGAATCAGCCATCAGATGTTGGCCGATTAGTTATATGTTGTGCACTGCTATAGCACCTTCCATCAGGAAAACTCAAAAGCATTTTGAAGTCAGCCTCACAACACCCCTGTGAGGTAGGGAAGCATTATCTTTTACAGCCTAGAAAACAGAGGCACAACAAGACTTCCACCCACTCCTATGCCATACTTGCAGCAGACTTTGCTTTCATCCTTGCAATGGTTTGGGATCAAATTCTTTTCATTGATGTTCATGGACTTGCCTTTGGCAAGTATGTTAACATTTTAAATCGAAGCAAGTGGTCTATATACCAGCAACGCTTATGGTAATTCATATTCTAATAGAAATGTCAAACTTTTTTTAGTTCTTAAAGTTACTTTATATATATTTAGAAGTAACTAATCTTTCATTTTAGTAACCCCCATTTACCTAATCGCAGCTTGAAGGCTCTGGAGGTTCATATTTGCAGAGATAATACACCATCCTAAAGTATTTCTTCCTATTGTTACTTTCCTCTGAGAACTATTCTACAGATTTGGCAGAATAGAAACGACAGAATTCTAAAGTTCATATTACAGGTTGGGTGCACTTTTCAAATACTCTCCTCTATATGAAGCTTCATATAGGGCCTGGCAACACCCTATATATTTTTGTTTTCTACTTATGGGGAGTTTCTGGAGGATCATTAAAAATACAAGCCACCCACCCCTGCACATAGAGCTGGTAGGATTTATTCTTCAGAATTTTCTGAATCCTCTATGAGCAATTCAAGTATTTTTCTGCAGTTCCTTTTTAGTATCTGTGTTGTTTCAGACACATTGAATAAAAATGCAGTTTTATAGCTGCATCAGTGCTTTGGGACAAGATTACCTCAAGGATGAAGTGAATCAATTCCTGGGCACTTTTATGTAGGTATTATGTAAAATAAGGATATTGCTTTCCAGGATAGAATTCTTTTACATTTTGCACCTTTTAGTCTTACTCCCCAGGAAAGTTTCATTTAATGCTTACTATCAACTTTTCTTTATGTGGGCTCTTTTGAGCTAATAAAACTATACAAAGAAGCCTACTCGATGTGGCATATATTTTTGCACTCGGATTTTTGCCTACCTTGCTTTAAAAACAGCTTCATGAAAACTATCAGTTCTGACTCTATAAGTTATCTAGGCCTAGGCACAGTTTATCCAAAATAATGCAGATTTTGTTTCACTCTTCTAACATTACTTGCAGCCGTCCACACTTTCAGCTATAACATGGATTATCAGGGATACAGCAGTCTAAGGCCTCATCACTAAACTTTTCCACATACAGGTCCCACTGGAGTCAAGTATTAAGAGTATATAGAAGACACTGTCTATGCAGACATGGCTTTAACAGTACAGCCTGACAGGTGGTGGTGGGAAGCTGAGGAATGACCCTGCTCACCTGATGCTAACATACTGGATCTCATATCTGAATGGGAGCCTATGCATGTAGAACCCAATACCTCCAAGTCCTTGGAGTAAAAATTGTGCTGTTTGGGCCTATGCAGGTTGGGCAATATGCACATAGTCTCCTATTCAAATGAGACTCCAAATATACAGGTATCAAGCAGATGCACCAGCAGTGCAAGGGCACTCATGACCCCCTAAAGTTTGTGAGCGCTGCTGTTAGAGCCACATTTGCATAAAGCTTGCATTGCAACCACACCATTATAGCATTTGTACAGACGCCTCTGAAAGTGATGCAAAGGCTCTCAGGCACTCCTAATGCTTCCATGGAATGAACACCCACTCCATAGGATCTCTTTACCATGCATCACAGATGCATTAAAAATGATCCAACCATGTTTGGAATAAAAAGCTCTACCCATCAACACATATTTCTTGTTATGCTATCAAAAGTCCAGATTAAAACCCTATTTTATTTAAGCCTGGCTTATTTGACCCTCACATTCCTTTCTTTGCATGAAGTTGGCTTTCAAGTGCTTTACTGAATAGGTTACAACTATTACGCCTGCTTTGAACAAGATGATGTCATGAACATTATAAAGTGTCAATAATGCAGTAATACAACTAAATATTTTTATGACCAATTACAAATATGGTGCACGTTCTGCCAAAAGTCAGTCTTACGTCCATTCACAGAATAGCTACCAGAACACAAATAGAAAATGGATTGCACGAGACAAGGCTTGATTTCAGGGATAGAAATGTTCCTATTTGTGCTTGCTTCGGCAGCACATATACTAGAAATGTTCCTGTTGGGGCGTTTCTGAAATTTAGTGTGTGGCTGCTAGAAACAAAAAGCAGGGCCAGATTCTTCATGCTAATAACTAAAACTTCACCATGAAAGTTTACCAATAATGAACTGGCAACAGATGTCAAGAAAGAACCATTACTCACTTCCAATCTCGATATGCCTAAATTAATCTTCCTTTCCTTTTAGCCTATGGATCATAAACTGTAAAGCAGTTCTATAACAGGATGTATCCCATCATATAGGTAAAATAGGCATACATAAGGATCCAGCAACTTCACACAGCATTAAAGGTTAGTCACAGACTGCCTCTATGCATATCAGCCTACCAAGGAAGTAGGACTACACTTTGTCCTAAAAGCGATTCAGCAGTATGAAAAGAACTATATGCCATGTTTCTTTGAGCTGTATCTTGGGTTTTGGAAAATATTTGTGACTTAAAGAGACAATTCAGAGGCCTAGTGCTTCAATGGCCTGATTTACACATCATGTTAAACCATAGTTAAAACTGGTTTATTGTGAATATGCTTTCTTTCCTCTCACATCTGCTGCTGCCAGGAAACAAGCCAGGCCCTTGACTTTTCAAAATGCTTGAACCAATGATTGGGCTTAGTTTCCCCAGAAATGCACTCTAAGCAGTAAGTTAATAATCTTGGTTACTGCTCATTGTTTGCAGAGAAACAGGTAAGAACCCCAGGTGGTGACATCACAACAAACCAGACTGTGGCTTTCCCAGCAGCAGGAGTGGAGCTTTTCATAATTGTTCAGCATTGCGCACCAGTGTGCAGTACACTCACATCAAACCAGGGTTTGTTTTTAACAGTAGTTGAATGTGAGATGTGTACTGGGCCAATGGAATCAAGTTCTTCTATGTGAAATGTTTCTCTTTGAGGCTTCAGACTCTAAGGAATGGGCAGCCAACATGGTACCTCAAGATGCTGCTCCAGCTCCCATCAGTCCCAGCCAGCATGTCCAATGGCTACCCCTGATCTAGGACTTCAGAAGGCTGTCCAGCTGGGATTAGTGATTGTAATCAGCGGCTCTGATTACAAACCTCAGCACTTCTAGTTCCTCACCATAGCAAGCAATCAGCTTACTTGCTACTTCCCATTAGTTTGTGGCTTTTGTTAATAGTAGTATATGGGTGAGGTAGACAGTAACCAGACAAAGCTAAACGAAGATCACTCTTCATTAGCAACAGCTGCTCTGAAGTCCCAATTCTGTGCACATCTACTCAGAAGTAAGCCACGCTGAGTTCAATGGAACTTACTCCCATGTCATGTATAAAAATTGCAGCCTCGAGTTTCAACTTCATGATCATTTTGCCATGCTCAGTTTAAATGACATAGCATCATAACTAAATGTACAGATTCATTAGACTCCAGAAGCCATGTACATTGCCATGTATTATATTTATTAATGTTACAATGTTATCTTGCTTTGGCGACCATGCCCAAGAACTCAAGTGAAGATACAAAGGACAGCTTCATCCTACTCTAACATACAGTATATTAAAACTTGATTCATGTGTAGTAACAAGCTTCATAAAATGCCAAAGTTGCAATTTTAAGTTTTTGCTATGTCATTAAGTGACATACATATACACATAATCTTTAGCTTTAATACCCTGCCAATGTTTTGTTGGCGAAGAAACACACTTTGAGGAAGATACACAACTCAATGGTGTCAGCTGTAGATTTACTTCAGTGATATGGACAGCTAGTGGCCTAGCTTTACAAAAGGCAACTATTTAGTAGCGTTTTCTTTCAATTATGCCAAGCAATTCTTTGATCACAAAGCCAATGCAATTCTAGGCAGAGGGGGAAAGTTCGTTACCCAGAATATTAATCATTTCACATCATAGCCAGTCGTCAATTGCAAAGTCACCCCGTGTTTATAACTAAAGCTGTTTCCTATGAATGTATTTTACCTACCCATCTCACAAAGCTGTATGCTCTGAGGATGTCTGAATTCCTGCTCAAGAGTCAAGAAAGCAACAGGACTCTTGAAAAGACACAGTAGCAGCAGCAGCCACATCAAGATTTAGTTGAGAAGAAAATTTAGGGAGGATTACCTTCTGTACCCCAGGTATCTCTTTGGGAGTTGGTTTGAATTCTATTCACGATCAGTGTCATACTGTACAGTAAAGCACAAATCTTAGCATATAAGTGTTATTGTACTAGTATCTCTCCAAATGTCACACAGCTGGTCAGAAGACTGATCTTTGACTGAAGTTTTCACTTAATCTTTGGGCAACAGACAAAAAACTGTCATAAGTGCAACACATTTCCAGAATATTTCCAGTAAGAAACCACAACAAATGACATTTTTCACTAGACATATAATTACTTCCATCCTGCAAATACAATAGTGTGTGCGACCAACAGCTGATACTTGCCATAATACATTGTTAAGGTTAAGTATACGGCTTGAATTTTTCAAAAATGAGCTCCACAGACTAGGGGCGCATAGACATTTGTTGGCCATTGAATGCAAATCTACAGAAATCCTAGTCACTTGAAAATAAAGAAAAAATAATGTATGGATAGTCTGCATAATCCATACTGCTACTTGACTATGCTGCAATTTCTCAAGCCAAAAAAAAAGGCATTTTTTTAAAAAATAAAAGAGTTTACATAGATGAAACCAGTTAATATACGCAGACTAGTGTCCCTACCTAAGTTTTCTATCTGGATGGATATTTATTTTCTGGAAACCTAAATTGAAACATAACCCAAACAAACAGCTCAACACTACACTGCATATTTTTGAAAGTGGTATATGCTAGAGGTTCCTAGTAAGTTATGGCTACATATGAAAGGATGGAATAATAAATGGGGGCACAGGACAAATTGCTCATTTAAGGTCACTTAAATTTGTCATTTAGAATAAATCAGAACCCAGATGGCTGACTTCTGCAGGATTTCTGAGAGGAATCCAGTAGAGCTGGTTTCGAGTTTCAGATGGCCACTAAAGAGTTGTAACCTTTTCCAGAAGTTGTGATCCACATGGTGTCCACAATGAGTGCAGCAAGTCTGAGGTAGTCAACCCTTACGAAGGCTCAGTATCTGAACATAAAAAAATTTGAAATAACCACTGGCTGCCGATAGCTTTTGCAGAGTAATCAAAACACTGGGGACTCTTGTTCGACCAGTTACATTAATTTCCCTCATATCCAAAAGAAGTGTCAGATGTACCAAATTAAGCATACTTCCATAGAGCAAATCACTTACGTCAAAGAGGTCTGCACTTGTTGCAGTAGATCCAGCAGATATAAGACGGCATGTTCATAATAGGTGGTTTAGTTACCTTAGACTGGAAAGGTATCAAATAACCATTCCTTAATTGTAATGTGTGTACAGCTTTACTGATCCCCAAGCACAGCATATTGGTTGTCTAGCTGAAGTTTAGTTGCCTGGGATTTTGAAACCTCATCCCTACCTCTAGTTTTGTGTTTTACTACTTCAAAGCTCTTCTCCATTTCTTTATCCCTAAGGGAAAATAAATGTAATCAGTAACTGTCTTACACACACCTGCCCCTTAGTAATATTATTTCCATGACACTAGTTTTGGTTGCAAAGTTCCATGGCTAGGGCCACTGACAGAATGGATATATGGCCCAGAACCCAGGGGGCTATTGTAGGCAGAGTCAAGAGCTTTTGCATGTTAAGTGGGATATTTCTTTGAACACAAAGCCTCAATGGCATTAACACAAACTGCTTTCAAAACACCACTAGCAGATTATCTTCTGTTCAAAAAAAAACAAGTTCAAAGCTATGCTGAAGAGTGTGTTAGTGGTAGAGTTTGCTGAACTGTGGCCATAAACATGCTACTTCACACTCCCAGAGGTTTGAACACTGCAATACCATAACAATTGTAAATATTTTAAAGTAACTGTTCCAAAGCATTGGCCTATATCCAAAAAAACCCCTACAACTAGTTCTGCATGCCCAAGAGAGGTTTAAGGAAAGCCTGTTTCGAAATGGAGTGCTCAGGTTTCAAAAACAGTTTGTGATATGGCATTGGGTGTATGTGTGTGTCTGACAGTCAAAGAAAAGCATTCCACCAAGCACGCCCAAGGCCTTGGGAGCCCTTAAAGTAGCTCTCAGGATCACTGTCACAATCACAATCTCAGGGTTAGTGAGAGATTGTGATGAATGTCCTGCAAATGCCATCTTTGTTAACATACTTTGTTCCACAGGCAGACAAAATTGCAACAGGGCTTAAGCTGTAGTTTAGCCGAGCAAGTCAACTCTGAGGCATAAAATTATTTCTTCTGCTGAGATAAGAAAAGCACTGAAGTCCTGCAAATGGCACACTGAATTTAAGATCCACACAGGACTGTGATTTGTTATGTGGAATTGGCACACATCATGCCTTTCAACATTCTACCACCCAACCCCTCAGAACATTTCCCTGTAAAGCAAATTAAAAGCCTCTTGACCAAACTTATGCAGGCAGTGCTCCTAGAATAACATATCTGCAATTAAAATCCACTTGCTTCTTCTGGTGCAAGTAACACCACAAACTTGTTTATGGTCTCAGTGGACAGGTTTATGAAGCTTTGAACCAATGATTAGGGGGGGAAGAGATTTTAAAGCAGATGTGCAGAGTCCTATTACTATACTTACTTTCTAGTATCTACATGCTTGGCAGTGGCCTGCAACGATGGGAATTGTGTATCACTATAAATCTCTGGGGGTCCTTGTGGCACTTTCCTTGTTCTAGTTTCTCTTGCTCCGGGTGGCCTATATACTCCACTGGACTGGACTGGCTCTGGGGCTTCTGCAAATAAGACAAAAAGAGCATTAGAAATAGCCATGTGTAATTAGATTAATAAGAAGGACTCTGCTGTTTTTTAACCATCTTGGCATACTTCGATTATTATATGAACCTGTTACAATATTCCAGTTTAATATATTCAGTCTGGATTTAAAAAATCATCTGGTGTAGCGGAGTGCTGCTAGCAGGCAACCTATTATCAAAACTAATCTTAAAAACAAAGAATCCCAACTGCTTTTTTCCAGGAATAATGATAAATCATGGTTTGTTGTTACATCAATGTTGTCTCTACTTCAAGAGATGGGCAGAACCTGAAACTTCTATTTCCAGTTCAGAACAAACTATTGTCTCCCTGCTTTTGCCAAATATGGAAACTGTTACCTTACAGAAATTAGTTCACAAACTGGGATATCAGACACAGTGAGAAATGTGGTTTATTCCAAACTACAAATGGAAACTTCAAATTTCCTCTTTTTTGAGTGAAAAAAGGAAGACAAGGGGGAAGTATGCGAATCCACCTAAATGTCGTGTGGCGCTGTGTGTGGCAAGACGCTTCCAAGACACTTCCTAGTCTTTCTTTTTTTAATTAGCCATATCAAGAAAATATTTATTAGTATACATCAGCATTCGAAAACAGCTCGGCGCCAGTTGTGACTGGCAACCGGCCTTTTTCGACTGGAGATGCCACACTGTCAAGCAAATCACCTGGTCTGCAGGGTAGCGTGGCAGCAAAAAAGAAAATGCCCAAACCCCAGGTCCCAAGACCTACAGGGCACCTAGCTTTCCTATCCCAGTTTCTAACACTGGACATAAGGGCATCTTGTCTATGCATGAGAAAAACATATTTGCACATCCTTTTTAAGCAGAGGCAAATACAACTATGTATACTACCAAGGTAAGCAACAGTACAGTGGTGCCCCGCAAGACGAACGCCTCGCAAGACGGAAAACCCGCTAGACGAAAGGGTTTTCCGTCGCGGAGGCGCTTCGCAAAATGAATTTCCCTATGGGCTTCCTTCGCGAGACGAAAGCCCATAGGGAAATCTCCGGGACAGCGGGGAAGCGCAGCGCCTCTTCCCCACTGTCCTCGGACCTCCTCCCGCCGCCAGGCTTCGGAAGGCTGCTCCGAAGCCTGGCGGGGAGGCGGAGAGGTTTTTTAAAAACCCGGGACAGCGGGGGACTTCTCCGCTGTCCGGGACAATTTTAAAATGCTGTCGGGCGGGTTTAAAATCGCCCCGGGCGGCGCGTTTCTCCGCTGTCCCGGAGGGCTTTTGAAGGCAGGCGGGGGGAGCAAAGACTTTCGCCCCCCGCCCGCCTTCAGAAGAGGTCCAGGATCTCTTCTGAAGGCTGGCGGGGGGCAAACGTCTTTGTCCCCCCTGCCTGCCTTCCCAGGGGCTTTTAAATCGCCCCGGACAGCGGAGAAGTCCTCCGCTGTCCCGGGGTTTTTTAAAATGCTGGGGGTGGGAAGAAAAGCCCTTGTCCCCCCCCCCCCAGCCTTCAGAAGAGGTCGGGGGACAGACTGTCCCCGGACCTGGTCTGAAGTCGGTTTCCCTAGGAACGCATTAATTGCTTTTCAATGCATTCCTATGGGAAACCGTGCTTCGCAAGACGAAAAACTCGCAAGAAGAAAAAACTTGCGGAACGAATTAATTTCGTCTTGCGAGGCACCACTGTAAATAGGCTTGCAAAGTGAGTTGGATAGGGAAAGCACAGGGTTGCGTAGAAGGCAATCCATGCAAAGACACCATACTAAAGCTGTACTGTAATGGTGATCTTCACCTGCAGCCTATCTCAGTGGCAAGGCTTATCCTTCAGATGCTAAGAAGGGCCAGACGCTTCTCCTGAATTTCAATGGGGGTGGTGAGGAATCCGAAACCGAGGAATACGAAAAACTCGCAAGAAGAAAAAACTTGCGGAACGAATTAATTTCGTCTTGCGAGGCACCACTGTAATCTTATGTACTGCTTTCATTATCTCCCTCTAATACTATGGTTTTCCTCTCAAATGAAGAAAATGTTTAACAAATAGTAACTGTTAGGAATTCTGGCATCTAGGGAGCTTGAATTTTTCTTTTAGCTCTTGGTATTAATACTGTACAGCAGGAACAACACCCTACACCTACTGAGCGATGGCTATACTGCATCACACACACTTACTACTTACCCTTGCATTGGTAAACAATGCTTTAATTTTAACAAACCACATTACTTTCCCTCTCCTTAGTTCTGTCAACTTGTTTCACTTTTTCCATAGAAGACCAACCTTATTAATTTGTATGAATCATGCTACATAACACTGAGATGTTTGTATCCTGCAATTAAATTTTGAGAAGCAATGGGAAGCTCAAATAACAGAAAACCCAATACAAGCCATTTCAATCAATATACCTTTAAAATAAACAGCGAAAAAACCAACAACTCACCAATAATTTCAGCAACAGGTGTCTGTGTAGGAGCAGATCTATTCCAAGGACCTGACAACTTATCCATACCCCCACCTGGTTCTTCACTGTTATCCCTTGGCTCTTCCCTCTTTTCACCATCTTCATCATCTTTTTCACTGAAATAAAAACGAAGGTGAAATACATGTTCATCATTTTCGTAAATCAAGAATGTATGACACCATGCACATTTTGCATATAATGACATTAAGTACAGTTCTCCACCCTGTGTGAATATACAAAAGTATCAACAGAGTCTGGCAATTTAAAAAATGGGCCTGTAGTTAGGAAAGGAGGGACAAAGATTTAGAATTACACAACTCAAGGGATAGCAAAGGCAAATAATTCCAATATAATTCTGCCCATATCTGTTTTAAGAGACATGCTTAAACAGCATATTACCCAGCAAAAGGAAGCACAGTAGACAATCACAGTTTAGTTCTTTAGGTTTGACAATTACTGAGAAGTGACAGAACACCCATAAACATGTTTAAAGTATTCAAGTGCTTTCTAAGCCATAGAAAGCAGCAGAACTTCAAGGAAACATTTTATAAAAGTGGCTAAGATGCACAGATAGATTGTGCTGATCGCTTCAAGCCATTCTGTGGCAAGTCTAGGGATATAACTTTGTTAGTGCCTTTTCTTCAGCTATTACGCTGTTGTTAATAAATATAAATAATAGGCTGAAATAACTCATAAGGCTGCAAGTAATATCTCTATCAGTGAGGCACATCCAGAAAGTTGAGGAGTACAATTATATTTTAACAAGTGTATCTTTTTAAGACAGTAATACCTAATTTGCATGGAGTGAACTCTGAGACCACTGTAGTCAATTACTTCTTCTTGCTCAAATTCCTTCCACTCATCCTCCTCCTGTAAGAGAGACAAACATTATGTAGACTCATTATCTGCTCTTAACAGAAGGCAACCAGCACAATAAGCTCTAAAATTATTATGTAATATAAAAAACAAAAAAGATATTAAATTGTACAATAGTAAAAAACCCCTCACAGAATGCAAATATTTCTATTTCTTTGCAATGAAGTAAACACTGCCTACTTTAGGAGCACATAATACATTTCAAGTTTCCAGAGAATTTCACATACATTTCTTATTTCTAATTAATATACATGATTACCTCAATTCTAACATATTAGCTTAAGCTAGTAAAGAAGAGTGCATATAAGTTGTGTTTCTGCCTAAGCATTTTGTTTTTATTATCCAACCTGGCCCTATTGGAATAGACTTTAATAACACTTTGCACTTATTTCCTAATATATCCAAGCCTCTTCATGGCAGGCATGATTACAGTGTACGATGTGTGCAAGTGTGGGTTCATACACTAGTGAAGTTTCCCCATGATGCAGTGGAATCCTTGAGTCTACAGGAAATAGTTTGGATCCAAAGACCCCACAGTTCAGCTTGAGCAAGAGGTGGTGGGAAATAGGCTCTTCTTGGCTCTCTGGAGTTAGCTTTTTGAGGACTAGAGATAGTGGAGAGAAAATTGGCAACAACACCCTCTCATGCAAGTGGAAGGGCTTTCCACTTTGGATCCATGCCACTGTCTTCCTTTAAATTTCTGCCATCTATTAAGCAGAGGATTAAATTTCAGCTGGAAAGTTTATCTACGGCCAACAGATCTTACCCAAGAAGAAAATACTGATCTGAAAAGTATTTGCTAACAGGAAAGCTACAATCTTCCAAAAAAAATGAGACACAGATGGACAGCATTCTAGACTGGTAACTTGTAGTCCATCAAAGCAACACTCTTTCAGTAGATGGGTCCATCTTTTATTACCTATACAATGGTACCTCGGGTTAAGTAATTAATTCGTTCTGGATTTCCGTTCTTAACCTGAAACTGTTCTTAACCTGAAGCACCTCTTTAGCTAATGGGGCCTCCTGCGGCCGCTGCGCCGCCGGAGCACGATTTCTGTTCTCATCCCGAAGCAAAGTTCTTAACCCAAGGTAATATTTCTAGGTTAGCGGAGTCTGTAACCTGAAGGGTATGTAACCCGAGGCACCACTGTATACTCATACCAATTATTCTTATAGTGCTCATGCTTATGTAGCCAAAGCAGCACCATCAAAGCACATTGGCAGATCAGAGTAACTTTGATGTATGGGTATGTACCAAAAAATCTATAGGGAAAAACAGGTGGACCCCAAAGAAGCACCCTGAGTTGCACAGAACATTGTGAGAGAAGGGAAAGAACCTAACAGCAGCTCCCCATTAGAAAATATTGCAACTTTTTGGGGGTGGGGGTTTAGCCTAGAGAAAAGGCACATGAGGTGACATGGTGTAAATCTGAAAAACTGTGCATGGCATGGACAATTTTTCCCTCTCTGAAAACTCGTGGACATCCAATGAAGCTGAATTAGGGACAGATAAAGTATAAACTACAGTGGTACCTCGCAAGACAAAAAACTCGCTAGACGAAAGGGTTTTTTGTTTTTTGAGCTGCTTTGCAAGACGATTTTCCCTATGGGCTTGCTTCGCAAGACGGAAACGTCTTGCAAGTTTGTTTCCTTTTTCTTAACACCGTTAATACAGTTGCGACTTGACTTCGAGGAGCAACTCATAGAACGCGGTGTGGTAGCCTTTTTTGAAGTTTTTGAAGACTTTGGTGATTTTTGAAGCTTTTCCAAAACTTTCCCGACACCGTGCTTCGCAAGACGACAAAACTCGCAGAACGAATTAATTTCGTCTTGCGAGGCACCACTGTAACTTGTTCCCACAGGAGGCAGTGACGGCCACCAACTTAGATAGCTTAAATAAGGATTGGACCAATTAAAAGAGAATAAGGCTAGCAATGGCTACTAGCTGCGATTGCTCTGCCTCCATTGTTGGAGGCAAGAATGCTTCTGAACACCAGTTGCTGGAAGCCACAGGAGGAAAGTGCTCTTGTGGTTGGATCCTGCTTGCTGGTTTCCTATAGGAACCCGGTTGGCCAGTTTGAGAACAGTATGCTGGACTAGAAGGGTCTTTGTCCTGATTTAGCAGGCTCTTCTAAAGAGGTGGAATAGAATAGAGTGGCTTGAACAGGAGACAAGACACACACACATATATATTAAAGGACAGAAAGAAGCATCTGATTGCTTGGACAGGCCTCCTGGTTTACACGGAAAATCTATTTTTCAGTGTCCCCAGGGACAGAAGACAGCTGCTCAGTGTTGGGGGAGAAGGGATTGAAAGACACCCCCCCCCAAAAAAAAATTCCATACCACAGCATTTTGTTGCAGGCCCACCTATGGCTCCCTAATGTGCATTTCCTACCAAACTTATTCCTTCATCTTAAAAAATCATTGCAATGTTGTCCAAACATTTGATCTAGAATCACTGCATTAGGTTAAGAACAGCCTGCTGAGTCAGGCCAATGGGCTGTCTAGTCCAGCATCCTAATCTCACAGTGGCCACCCAACCACAAGAGGATGAGCCTCAATGTGACAACGGCCAAACGTAGAATCTGATTTATAGATATATATAAATCTGCCCTGTCCTTGAGCTTTATAAAAACTGCAGTGTCTCAAATATTGAAAGCTACGGACCAGATAAAACAAGAAAGCAGCATTGTGTGCAAAAACCTCATGTGCCAGTGAGAGCTGTTTAATCCATGTTACACAGCTCCAATGCAACTGAATGAAGTACTTCGGGAACCATTTTTGGAAGGCAATGAAAAGCCCCGGAAGAAGTTGCATTACCATTTACTTCTACGGCTGAAGGTAAGCACTCAGCGGCACGACTGGACGATTACACAGGGGGGGAAATTATCCCTTGCCTGCCAGCATGAAGGCACAGCTCAAGGGAGAGAGCCACGGCTTCAGTTACTACGGACATGCCTCAAATGAACAGAGGCTGCTGGGAACAAAGCAGTTTATGCAAACTCCGGCGCCGTTACAAAAGAGCTAGAACATGCCGGGGGTTGCGTGGGTGGGGGCGCAAGACGACTATTTCAAGCCCATTGATTTGGCTTCCACATCGGGTATCTACTTATCGCTAAATACGAGAGTCCTAAACTCTGCCCTCGTTCCCACCCCATCCGCCGGGAGGGTTAAGGAGTGACCGATGGATGCGACTTCCACGCGCCCCACGCCAAGGCCACGGCGGCCGGGCTGACCCCGCAAAGGCGCCCTCTGCTGACAGGAAGTCACCAACGCCCACAGGAAGCCGATAATTCCCTACTTCTCTCTCACCGCCACCCCCCCCCCACGCCGCCCCATGACTGGTCATGCTGGAACCCACCCGGCTCAGACCCGCCCCCGCCGCCCTGCCTGCTCACCTTAATCCCCCCTTCGTCGCGGCGGCGTTGGCATTGGAGGCCGTCCCGGAGCCGCCCTCGCCCTGCCGGCTCCCCCCGCCCCCGCCAGAAGCGTTGGCAGGGGCGTTGTGCGAGGCCGCCGAGGAGGCGGCCGTTGCCGAGGCGGCCCCCCGGCTGCTCTTCTCTTTCCGCTTCTTCTTGTCCCGCTTCGCGAAAAAGTCGTCCAAGCTCCTTTCCTCAGTCTCGGCCATGGCGGCGGCAGAAGCGGCGGCGGCTCCTCCTCGCGCTCCGGTTCAAACCGGTTGTGGCTGACGGGACGTGTCTTCCTCGCGCCTGACGGCGGTTGGGCGCCTACTAAGCCGACGCGCTGCGCCGGGGGCGGGGGAGTGAGCGAGGGAAGGCGAGCGGGCGAGCGACCCCCTCACAGGTGCCCACCAACAGCAGCCCTCACGTGCGCCTCAGTGGGGGTGGCAGTCGCTCGCCCCTTCCGCGGGAGGCGAATGGTACAGTCCTTAAACCGCCGGCTGCCCGCGCGCCGGACGCCTCTCTCTCCCTCCTCAGCTCACGCGGCGGCGGCGGCGGCTTCCGCTCTCCACGTTGGTGGCCGCCGCTTGACACAGCCAAAGGAAAAGTGGGGGCGAAGGAAGAGAGGAGGTGGGGGCGGAGCCAAGCGGCAGGAGCTTTTTCTAACGTGGCACCTTATTGGGCATGGCGGCGCAGAGGCGGGAGGCCGCGCGCGCCTCCTTCCGCTGGGGCCAACCCGCCCAAAGGGAACAAACGACCCGGGAGCCAATGAGAGGCAAAGGAGGCCTCGGTGACGAGCTTTGGGTGCGGCAGAAGCGTCAGCAGCCCCGTTTGTGATTGGCCCGGCGGCCCGGAATGTGGGAGGAGAGAGAAGGCGGAGGGAGTGCGCTTGCGCGAAGTCGACGCCTTTGGGCGCTCCGGGAGTGACGAGGCAGTACAGCGCGGGCAGATGTTCGTTACGGGCCAGGCTTTGATCTTTGCTCTCCCTCAGCGCAGAGATAGCGAGCCTTGGTTCTGCGCGCGCTTTTTTTACTCGTCCTCGTCCTGAGGGGGGCGCGTTGAGCCCTCGAGATGCTGCCGCCCTCCCCTTCTGACGGGATTCGGCAGCTGCGCACGACAGGCAGAAACGCAACCGGTGCAGCTGCGCCCCTTGCCTCTCGTGAGGGAGAAAAACCGCACCTGCGGGGTTGGCTTATTTAGGGTATTTATATCCTGCTCCTCAGCCAAAAAGACTCCCGCAGCGACTTATGAGGAATTAAAGCAATACGCTCCCTTACAATCTTAAAATGAAAAAGGAATACAACGCCCAAGAGGACAGGGGAAAATAAATCTCAAAAGTTTAAGCACCAATTTCTAGAGACAGTTGTTCCTATGCTGACCAGCTGGCATAGTTAACAGGCAGAAGGTGCCAAGGGGAGCTGGGCCTCCAGCAAAGTGAATGCAATGAACCAGCTTCCTCTCTTGCGCTGAGACAGGATGATGGAATGCCTCCACCCAGGTGACAGTTGAAGGTGAGGAGGCCTGATGGAATGAGTTGCCATAAGATTGGAGAATTGTAGAGTTGGAAGGGGTCCCAAGGCCCATCTGGTCCAACTCCACTGAAGGTTTTTTAATAGAGGTTGAATGGCCATTGGTCATGGATGCATTGCAGGGAGTTGGACCAGATTACATTAGATATTTGAAGATGGCTATCATATCTCCTCTCAGTCTCCGCTTTACCAGGCTGAATGTACCCAACTTCCTCAACCATTCCTCATAAGGCTTGATTTCCAGACCCTTGATCATCTTGGTCACCCTCTGCACACACTCTAGATCCTTAAATTATGGCGTCAAGAACAGGACACAGTACTCCAGGTGTTGTCTGACCAAGGTACTATGACTTCACACCATACATTGTTGATGTAGCCTGCAATAGCATTAGCTATTTTTACTGCTGCATCACACTGTTGACTCACATTAAACTTGTGGCCTACTTAGACTCCTAGATCCTTTTCATATGTACTTCTGGCAAGCCAGACACTATTGTGTGAAGGACTCAATAGCCGCAAAAAGCCTGTAGGTTAATTAAATGTAGACTTGTTTAGTCTCAGTTCCAATTTAAGTGTGTCCTTGAAGTGTTTCCTGAAGTATAGATTTTTATCTAGGTAAAGGAAAAGCCCTGGACAAACAGTGAACCCATTACCAGTCCCAGCACCTAAGTTGAGTAAAGCTCCTGTGAGCAGGTGTGTAATATGCTATCTAAAGTGGCAGGTGAGGGCCAACCATGAATAAATTTACTTGCAATTAACACAGTGATCTTCTGATATTTGGAAGTAAATTTGCCGTTAATCCTTGTACTTCTTGTTCTGTTATGTAAGCAACACAAGGACAAAGCAGGACCACAAAAGGCAAGTCATAATGAAACAAAAAGCAACAAGCTTAGCTGCAAAAAGTAGATTTTCACAAAATGGATTCACCTGTGTGGCTTCTGCTAGGTAATGTGCATATGATTGTAGTCTAAATAGGCAAATTTTGTAAGCTGCTGTCCTGATACCAGGGCTTTTTCCCCCCCAGCCGAGCTCAATGACTCAGTTCCAGCACCTCTCAAGTGGGCACCATTGCCATTATAAGAGAACAAAGGAGGAGTTCATGGTGAGTTATGGCGCCTCTTTTTCTAGAAAAATAGCACTGCCTGATACTATTGGTCAGTTAGCAAAATTCTACACCGCTGTTCCCTTAGGATTCAGAGAATGCCTCTGCACAACTTGTTCAGTAACGAATGTGGCTTTAGCAATTAAAACTAATCCATAAGATAAGGTTGTAAGATACAATAAGTAGCACTAGCAGGGACTTTGACAGGCTGCAATTTCTTTAAGCATTTTTCTAGCTGATGTTTTTTCTAAAATCAACTTTTTGAAATCTCTTAAGTCATGTTTGATTGGGTGGTGTTTTTTAGCCTTTTCTGCACCAACTTTATGTGCAACAGATTGTGATTTCTTTTATAGTATGGACATGGCTCCTATTTGCTAGTTTGTTTAGAAATGCATTTGAAGACAGTGCTTTTTGTGGAGACCTTACTGCTTAAAAGCAACAAGGAAAGCTAATAAGGTTCATGAGAAAGACATTCTTTAATTGGGCCCATAAGCTCATGCCTTTTGTGAAATTACTTTGGGGCATTATAGTCAAAGCAGGTCTGCAGAGTAGTTTGGAGGAATGTATATACCTGTGTTAAGGCCACAACATTGAACTCAGCAGGTCTTACTGCTGACTAGACATGTAGGATTGTGCTGTGTAGGGTGTAGGGTAAGTCTGCATTCTCCATCTTCCAAGCCTTAAAACTGACTAAATACTGTACAGCCTTGTGGTGTCAATATCAAGAAAACTTTTCTCCCACTTTTTGGGTGTGCTGCTTAGCATCCAGTTCGAAGTAGATTTCTGAAGAACTAGAAAGCTTGCTTATAATTTTGTGACATTTTGGTTGGTAATAGTTAAGGTATTTTCCAACTGTGGATTTTGAAGTCTTTAGAATGGATCACAACTTTCCATGCTTTTTAGTGTCTAGTTTTGCTAGTGACCCTGGGGTGTTAGGCTAAAGCGAGGGCTAAGGGCTCTTCAGAGAATTCCAGGAAAATTATAGTATGGTTTAAACGATTTTCATCCAGTATCCTGCCCTCCCTCCTTCGACCATATTAACATATCTTCACAACTATATAGCTTGCCTCTACTATTTATGCTCTCCTTTTTGTGAAAACACTTGCAGACTTTCAGTAAAGTGAAAGACCTACTGCCAGGGTATTGGCGTCAAAGCATTAATTGTTTGGGTATAGAACTGTTGCTTTCTCTACACATTGGTTTACCTGGCCTGAATTTAGATAAACTAAAGGAACAAATCCCACACATACGCAGAGTGGACCTATTGTGTGCACGTTCCTCAGAGATCCAAATTAATTTAAAATTAAGGCATCATTGTAAACTGTGGTGTGGTTGTGAATGTCTGCGCAGGAGCTTTGTACACCATGATGAGAGATGGACAGATGGGAAGCAGCTGAGAAGTATTACTGGTACTGGGCGACTCAGTGTGAGTTGTGTGACAAGCACCAAATTTGAGAGGATTAGTGGTGTGGCTTAGAATGTATTGTGGGATCAAGGTGACTGAGCTTCCATCTAGTGCTGTTGACAATACTCTTGTCTGTTACAAACCTGCTTATATTATTTAATTCTATCAGTTTTCTCTTTTAGATTGATGTGTTCAAATCAAACTTGGTTAGACTCAAAATGTTTCCAGTGATCAGACAAAAAGTATTCCCATTGTCATTTAGTAGTATAGTGCAGCCCTCCCCAACCTGGTGCCCTGCAGTTGTTTTGGACTACAACTCTCACCAGGAATGATGGGAGTTGTAGTTCAAAACAGCTGGAGGGCACCAAGTTGGGGAAAGCTGGTGTAGTGAGACAGTACTAGGGCAGTGTGTGTCTGTTTACAGTGTCCTAAAATAATGTCTGGGATCCAAGCCACTGTATCTGTTATTTTATATTTTTTAGTAGTTATGCTGTACTTACTGTTTGTATGTTGTGAGCCACATTAAGCACAATTTTGTGGGAAAGTAGCATAGAAATAAACACATGTTTGTTGGTGATGATGGGCCTCTCTGAATCTAGACAATATTTTGAGATTTCATAGCTCCAAGAAACCCTTTCTAAAGGTCAAAATAGGTGAGATGTGGGAAACCTGGAGTCAGATCTCCAGGTGTCTTTTTTAAACTTCCAAAGTAACGATTACATCAGGGGAGTTGAAGTGGATCAGAGGCATATCACTGGGGGGGGGGAAGGATTAAGGTATGTTGCTGCTCCCCACCCCCCCACCCCCCGCAAACATACAAAGCTTTTTTCTGTACTGTTTTCTCAGTAGAAATCTCTTTCTCTTCCACTCCCCCGGTTGCTATTTGCTTCAGTAGTGAAAGCAGATAGGTCTATACTGTAGCTGTGTGTTTCCTCAGTGGGGTAACAGCAACTTGAAGAAGGGAGAATTTAGATCAGGAAATGGCCACATGGGCAGGTAAGGGGATAAACTACTCCAAGTCCTGTGCCATACTGGCTGGGACTGGTGCAAATTGGAGTCCATCTTATGGATGGCCACAGGTTCTTCAGCCTTGTTCTATAATTTAACAAATATATCAGAGATCCAGTCATGTCTCATATAGTTTGGGTAGGTTCATGTTCTAGAACACACCCTCAGTTAAATCAGGGGACTGGCTAGACTTATAGGCCCCCTCCCTCACCATTGCTCCATATGAACTGAGAGTGTAGCCTAGTAAACACTCAATGCTCTTTTGCAGCCATGCATTGCAGAATGCGGTCAGTTATGGTGGACAAATGAAACTCCAGATAACCTTCTAAGGAACTTCAGGAGTGTCCAGAATACGATTTGCAAGTCTCCTCCGGTAAAACGGGATTTTAGAAAGTATTACTCTTGATCTTTTGTGCCTTTGCTTTAAAAAAAAAAGTCAAACTGAGATCTGTGAGATATATTCTCAAATGAGTGTTGACAAGAATGCAGTGTTGACAAGAATGCAGGATCAGTCTAGTTTTTCCCCAGCAGTTTTTTATATTAAAAAAGAGCCATCAAGTTGAACTGATATTTTATTCTATAATCATATAGGAAGTTTTGAAATCTGTAAGCGAAGCAATCATACGTGGGGATGCCTAGTGCAGTCGGTCAAGCTGTGGCCTACTGAAGTTGACGAATCAAGTTGGAGTAGGCTGCATTGGCTTTCATTGTTTCCATGGACACTTTTGCCAGTGACATCATCCTGTGCTTTGAGCAACAATCATTGTCTTCTGACGACAACAAATTTGAAAATCAGCTGAAAAGTTAAACAAAAACAACACTATCATTATTTGACCAAACTGCTGGAGGCAGTGGAAGACAGGAGTGCCTGGCGTGCTCTGGTCCATGGGGTCACGAAGAGTCGGACACGACTAAATGACTAAACAACAAAATCATTATTTCTCCAAAGATAATCAGACCCTTAACAGTACAAATTGATTTGATGCAGTTTTGGCAAGATGAGCAACAAAATGATGCACACAAACACACACACACTTTGTATAAGTCAGCTTTGTGGTTGCAAGTAGAAAGGTTATCACATGCATGATTAAATAGATGCACATATGCAGTGAATATGTGGGCTTCAAGGTCTGGGATGACTATTCTAATCCAAGTTGTCCTTTGTGTTTTTATCAAAGTAGTGGATTCAGAGTTATTTTGTGGGGGCGAAAATATGTTCTTCCTAATGAAGAGAGTGGATGTTAAATCCAGCCAAGACTTCCAAGACTGATAGGAAAAATTCAGACCAGGTCTTCATGAGTCAGTTGCCAGAAAAGAAATACACTTGTTTGGAAATCAAATTTTCCAGTGAAAAGGGCAGCTTTTCCTGGCGTATTACAGATGAGAATTCCATTTATGGTAAACCAAAAGCTAGCTGTTCTGCGTAATGTTTCCCATGGAAGACATAATTATTATTTTTAACAGGGAAAACGTTGTTGTTCTTGGTTTGTGTTTGAAACTATCCTGAACTATATGTTAAAAGTCGTTTTTGCTCTGCAGCCAAATCCTCATACATTGCTGTTTTGTCTGTTCATGCCGTTTAGTTTGCTTTATTCAACCACTTTTTGTTGGTAGTTTGGGCTCCACAGCAGACACTAATCTAGTAATGAATCAATGCTTTCAATCAAGGCTTCAGTTGTTATGAATTCCCACTAAAGATGAAAATCTAAGTCCTGTATTTTGTGTTGAATTAGAATGGGCTAGCTTTTAAAAATGGAATGTGCTAGTAAATCAAGAGACTAAGAATTAACACAAATAGATGTTTGTTTTGATAAATAATATATATCTCAGTTACTTTGTTGAACTGGGACTGATGCTTCCTTTCTGCAAAGAAGAGAATACTTGGTGCCATGTACTGTTAATTTTTTAAAGCTAGAAAATCTGAAGCGATGCCAGTTCTTCAGAAGAGTTATAGGTTTTTCTGATGCAGCATTGTCAGTCTTAACTAGTGGCAGCATCCCAAGGTTGCAGTATATGCAAATTTTGCTCTTTGACTTACCGTGGCTTGCAATGAGGTGGTAAAATTGAACTCATGCATAATACATGCAAACAAACTGCGTTATATCTCCACCCACTATTTTGTATCTATGATCTTCTGAAGATTGGGACCAGGGCAGGACCTATATCACTGAGCTCTGCTGCTTGTTTAGTCTTGCAGTGTTCCTATAAACTAATAGCAAACATCTGAGTGTGCACCCTTATGTAGCTAAAAGGGTACAGTCTCATACTTTCAAATATTACTCTGATGAAAATAGGGACATCCCTTTCCATAATTATAATTTTACTATTTATGCCCCACATATCTTACTGGGTTGCCCCAGCCACTTTGGGCATCTTCCAACTTATATACAAACATAAGGAAACATTAAACATTTTAAAAAAACTTCCTTCATTTAAAAAAAATGTAAAATGTTGCCTTCAGGTGTCTCAGGGGGTGCATAACTCCATACCTGCCAATATTTCTCCAGTGAAAATAGGGACGTCCTAAGGAAAAGCGGGACATTCTGGGGTCAAATCAGAAACTGGAAAAGCTTCTCTAAATCTGGAAGATAGGGACACTTGGGGGGTCTGCAGTCTATACTCAAGAGGGGGAAAATTAAGCCATCACATATGTAAGGATGGGAAGTTGCCAAGATAGATTCCGATGTAAATTGTATATCATATGATCTTAATGTAAATCAGTGTAAAATAGTAAACTTTTTTTTTTTAAAGAAAGCTTTGGGGAACCCCAATGCTTGCAAAAATGCCCAAAAAGTATAAGAAAAAATCCGGAGGAACCCACTTTTCAAAATAGCACAGTGAGGACTACTGTAATCATATTTAATGGTTATGGAATGCTGACTGTTTGAGACAGGAGTGTGGAAAACTGGGGTGGGGGAGAGGAGAATGGCATGTTGATTTTATTTATATTTTGATATTTTAATGAACATTTAATACATTAATGTGAGCTGAGATACTTTGATTAAATGGAGTACCATATATCCTGGAAAAGTGCATGGCTGACTGGCTGGAACTCTGGACAGGAGCATTTTAAGCTGCAGCTTTTGTTTCAGGTCCACTTGCAGCACTCTTTGCAGAGACCACAAGGAGCAGCCAAAATCAAAGAGGCCCATTCTTTTTGGCAAGTGCCTCGCCTGTTGTGAAAATGGTGCAGCTCTAGGAAACTTTAAGCAATGATGTGGTTTTGACTGGCCTTCTGAACCAAGCAACAGGCAATGGTACTGTTTGAGCTTCACTGCTGCCAGTTGGGGAGAACTTTGCCATCAAGATTTGAGCCTATTCCACCCCACCCCTTCCTTCAGAGGCCTAAAATTTAAATCTGAAGAGAGGCAGTACTGGAATGACTGGATTGTGCCTGCTGTTTCTGGGGAAGGTGGCGAGTGAGTGGAGAATCTGGTCTGGCCATACCTTGTAATGAGGAATTGTTCACATATGACTTAGGAATGGAGTATATGTATGAGTTCAGTCAACTAGTAGCTGTATTTCCAAATCTGTAACTGAGGCATCAGTTGCACAAGAGAATGAAGTTGTTGGCAATGTAATATTATAATGTAGCAATGCTAATATTTGCTAGATCCTACTTGATTTATCCTTTTGTGTCCACTCTGATTAATTCTCCTCTGTGCACAGAGAAGTGATTATGCAGGCAAGACACAATTCACCATATAAAGAAATACCTGCTCTCTTCTTTGTCTAGAAGGCAGTGATACGCGGTGATATCTTTCTCCAGCTGTGTTTTAATGGACAGCAGAGTTTCGCGATCCCTCTGCTGCTGCTCAGTCTCCGCACGGATTTCTCCTACTTCTGCTTCCAGCTTGGTGATGACAGAACCTAAATTCTGGAGCTCTATGTCATGCCAGTGCTTGGCATCATAGAGGGAGTTCTCCAAACCTCTCTTCTGCAAGGCAATAAAATTCTGTTATGTATATATATATAGGTAATAAAAATGCTAATACATATTTTTGGCCTGCCCAGTTTGTGCTCTACCAAGGTAAACTCAGCAGCCCTGTAGTGTGGCCTCATATGATAAGAGAGTGTAGGGCTGCATTTGGTGGTTATAAGCTGGGGAGGTCCAGTGTAGGTTTTAATAGGTGAGAATGCTCAAGTTTGTAACCTTGGCATGTGGAGTGGGACACCTGAACCTTGTCATCTTTCTTTCTTGACAATAGCTCCACACACTAGTTGGCCAGAAATTTTGGAAATTTGAGAGAGGTTAACAAGTGGTGTCTGGAACATTGAGAGGAGCTGTTGGCTCCTCTCAAATACTTGAATCCATGTTATAGAGGCCCTGCAGAATGCAACCATTCTGACAGAGGCCTTGTTTGCATGCAACACTAAGCCAAATCATAGCTTAGGGAGAACAAGTAAGCATGCAGGTATCCAGACAGGTATTCTCCTGGTGTTACAATTGCTATGCTACCCATGGTTTGGCTTAGCATTTTGTGTGAAGCCAGCCTTGTGGGTTTTCCCTAAACAAACCACAAGCAGTAAACTGAGCACAAATTGGTTCAGCTCATGGTTCATTGTGAGCAAGACAATCACATGTAATTAATAATAATAATAATAATTAATAAAGTGATAAAACATTAGACACTTTCCTAAACAGGGCTGCCTTCAGATGCCTTCTAAAAGTCAGATAGTTGTTGATTTCCTTGACATCTGATGGCAGGGCTTTCCACTGCCAAGAAGGCCCTCTACTTGGTTCCCTGTAGCTTCACTTCTTCCAGTGAGGGAACCGCCAGAAGACTCTCAGAGCTGGACCTCGATGTCCGGGCTGAACGATGGGGATGGAGATGCTCCTTCAGGAATACTGGGCCGAGGCAGTTTAGGTCAGCACCAACACTTTGAATTGTGCTCGGAAATGTCTAAATGCAGTTGTTTTTTCTGGAGGTACACAGGTACGCATACCCCTAAACATTTTGTGAATCTAAGAAAAAAAGCATTGTCTCTAAATGTAGCACTAAGCCACACTGTGGCTTTGCTTCAAGTGGTGTGGCAGAAGCAGGACTAGTGGAGGAGTGAAGCAGCCACAGTTTTTGCTTTGAGTATCCTGACACTCGCTCTGTGTCTTTGGCCATTGTGTTTGTCATTGCATGCAAACTGGGCCACAATCCTGAAAAGAACCAAAGGGGCATTACTGATTTCAGTGGAAGAAATTTAAACACTTGCTTAATGCTCCTACTGGAATCGCTGGTAAACAGTTATAAGTCAGCTTTCCAGCTTGTACCCTAAGTTTTATAGCTGTAAAAACTGTTTTGAAAAGTGGAGTTTTCAAGCCTTGATGTTCACAAGAAGCGTGTGGTTGCAATTATAATGGATGAACAGTGGTTTGTTGAACACATTTGAAAATGTCAGCTGCAATCCTATGCACATTTACTGGGGAATAATTTCCATTGAAATCAGTGGCTTGCTTCTGAGAAAACACAGAAGGATTGCTCTGGTTCTCTTATAGCATAAGGTGTCAAACCCATATACAAATAGGAATCTGTTCATCCTGGAAACAAAAGCCTTGCACCTATAAACAGATACCATTTCTCATTTCTGACTCACCAGAGTTCTCAGTGATTCAGTCTCTGCTTGCAGGCTTTGGATTTTGCAAGCTGTTTCATGAAACTCTACCCTCAGGGATTCAACCAGTTCCTCCTCTTGTGTCCGTACAGATGGTGCTGTTTCTGTGGCTTGCTGACAACATTTAACAGTGACGAACGGGGAAAAATGCAGATTCTTATTTGCTGTTCTGTTATGCCAGGCATCCCAAAACTTGGCCCTCCAAGTTTTTTTGGGACTACAGTTTCCATCATCCCTGGTTAACAGGACCAGTGGTCAGGGATGATGGGAATTGTAGTCCCAAAACATCTGGAGAGGCCAAGTTTGGGGATGCCTGCGTCACACAAATATATCATATACAATTCAGAAGAAAAGCTGCTGGGATTTTAAATCCATCACTTTCTCCTCCATTTACAGCATATACTGGTATATAAATATTACTCTTGGTTGACAGTGCTGATTGGAGAAAATGGAGGGGAGCGTTATTTCATGGAGTAATTTGGGCAGTATTATTTTTAAGCTTCCCACACACATAATGAATGGGCAGTCCATGCTTGGTAAGCCTGGCTTTATTGGAGAGGTGCTCCATCTCCCTAATCATTTTACATTGCAAGTCTATACATGTCTACTAAAACACAAAGCCCATTGAGATAAATGGGACTTACTCCCAGACAAATGTATATAAGATTGCAGTCTTAGTTACTCTTACCTTGTTTTGTTCTTACCTTGGTGTGGAGCAGGGCGCCAGTCTCAGTTCGGTTCCTTTCAATATCTTTCTCCCAATGAATCCGGATTTTTTCCAGTATGTCATCCAGGCCTGTTCCAATGGGAGTATCTAGTTCTTCCAGTGGTGAAACAGCAAGCTGCTTGTAAAGCATCTTGACATCCTGAAAACCACCCACATAAATAAATGGGCAGCACCCATTGAGATTCTAGCAAAAGGAACAATTTCCATTGATGCAACTGGGGAGACATTCGTGGCTACTGCAGCCTTACTTGATTTCTCGTTGTTTGTTTTCTACAAATAGTCACCCAAATGTAAATGCAGTACAGTCAAACCTTGGTTCCTGAACACCTCTGTTATTGTACATTTTTGTTCCCAAACGCTGAAAACCTGGAAGTAAATCCTCTGGTTTTCAAACATTTTTTGGAACCCGAACGTCTGACGCGGCTTCCGCTTGAGTGCAAGAAGCTCTTGCAACCAATCAGAAGCTGTGCCTCGGTTGTCGAACGTTTCAGAAGTCGAACAGTCTTCCGGAATGGATTACGCTCGACAACCAAGGTTTGACTGTACGTGGGAAATTGCAGTAAAACATAACTAGTAAGCATACAGCTAGTTAATGCACGAAGGGGTTAAGATGATAGAACTCAATTAGGAACTCAGAGGTGATGGGGGAAGTGAAACTTTTTCTCTTCCTTTCCTCACTCTTTTCGTGCCATGTAACTGACCAGGACGGATGTGTCTGAGCTTGCTCCAAGCTCAGACCGCATGCTTGAAACTGTACAGTGGTGCCTCGCAAGACGAAATTAATTCGTTCCGCAAGTTTTTTCTTCTTGCGAGTTTTTCATCTTGTGAAGCACGGTTTCCCATAGGAATGCATTGAAAATCAATTAATGCGTTCCTAGGGAAACCGCTTGCCAGGCTGGCGGTGCGGAGAAGGGCTTTTCTCCCCACCGCAAGCCTTCAGGACAGGTACGGGAACAGAGGGGAAGGCGCGCAGCGCTTTCCCTCTGTTCCCGGGGCTTGCGTGGGAGGAGGGTTTTTCCTCCCCACCGCCAACATTCAGAACAGCATTCTGAATGTTGGCGGTGGGAAGGAAAACCCTCCTCCCACCCCAAGTCTTCAGGAAAGCCATCCGAAGCCGGGCGGCGGGAGAAGGTGTCCCCGCCCGCCGCCCGGCTTCGGAGAATCCTTCCGAAGCTGGGCGGCGGGAGGAGGCGTTCCCGCCCCGCCGCCCAGCTTCGGAGCTTCGTTCCGAAGCCGGGCGGCGGGAGGAGGCGTTCCCGCCCCGCCGCCCGGCTTCAGAGCATCGTTCCGAAGCCGGGCGGTGGGAGGAGGTCCGAGGACAGTGGGGAAGACGCGCTGCGCTTCCCTGCTGTCCCGGAGATTTCCCTATGGGCTTTCGTCTTGCGAAGCAAGCCCATAGGGAAATTCGTTTTGCGAAGCGCCTCCAAAACGGAAAACCCTTTCGTCTAGCGGGTTTTCCGTCTTGCGAGGCGTTCGTCTTGCGGGGTACCACTGTATTTTGTACCCAAGAGTATTCCATTTGTGTTCTCCTTGCTGCTAAAATAGTGCATGAATCAGACCTTTGGATTTTGTAAGTAAAGCTTTTAAAGTGTGTGGTCTGTTCATTGCCATAGGGTAGTGAGATAGGATCAAGTGCTGTTTGCAAACTAAATGGGATATATAAAAGGCTCTAGCAGCCTATATTCCCCACACTGTACTACTGCTTAACTCTGTGATTGTTTTAAACTTTGCTGGGGGCGCTCTCCCCCTGGGTCAGATCTGTTTCCCCCCACAAAATGCTCGTATTCTGATTGGAATTACTGATGGTGTTACTGTTCACAAATAGCTATTTCTAGAGCAAAAGCTGTTTGGTGACAGAGAGAGCTCAGTTTTCAGGAGGAACTTTGTTTAGAATTGCTGGAAATGAAATTACCGGTATTCTCCTCCTATCCTGTGATAGACATGGCTAGTTGATGTAGAAGGTGTTTCTCATGGGAAGTCTGTGTTTTTTTGTGTTTTTTTAGTGTATCTGGGTCATTTCACGGGACCATCTTAATTCCATCAATGACTGTGTTGATGATGAAATAGTTACCTAGGTGCTCTGCCATAGCCCCAGATTCTGAAGTGCAGTGCATATCTTATCAGAAGTAAGTAACATTCAGTTCATTGGGACATACTTCCAGGTAGTTGCACTTAGGATTGCAGCCTTAGCATGCCATTGCCACTGGCTTTTTTTGTATCCTTTGTCACGGCCTACTAAATTGAGGGAGTCTGCCATGGCTGCCGCTTTGTGTTGGGGTGTGTTTTATATATTGTATTCATGTTTTTACCAAATTTTGTGATTTGCCTTGGGAGGGTTTTGCTGTGAAAGTTGACATATAAGTAGGGATGTTGGAGAATACTATCAGAAATGGAAGCAGGAATGGAAATTGCCACAATTTGCATGTTTGTTGGAGGTAAGGAATGGAAATCACACAAAGAAACACCAGCGGTATTCATTGCCATATTTTTTCAGTCCACAATTTTTATATAAAAATTACGTTATTTTTTGCATTCTTGACATTTTTCTTCCATTGAAATTATGTAATTTCGATGAATGCAGGACAGGCTGGAAATCACAACCTCCTTGCATTATGTAGAGTTCTTTAGATATTTCAGCTGGTATGAATAGGAGATAAATAATTATTTGCAGGATCCATTCCTTCTGTTTCCAGTCTGCTTGGTAGAAGGCTTTTTAAATTTTTTTGTTTAAACTAGAAGCTAGTAGTCTGGGTTTCCATGCTGGCCATGGAGAAACGTACCCATACAGAAACACAGGGTACTAGCTCCCTGGAAGAGTAGTAAAAAAATAAAGATCAGGCTAATAACTTTTGTGGGGAAATTTACAGGGCTGTTTTTAGCCCTTGTGGTTTTATGAACAAGAGGCAACCTTGCATACATAAAAACCTACATTTCTGTAGAGAGAGCACGATCAAGGTGTTTCCAAGGCAGCATGTAAAAGTTAAGCTTATCAGTGCGCAAAAAGCTTAACCCCTTGGGGGAGAGCAGAGGCTTCATAACCTGAATGTAGCCGAAGTGGTTTTTCCCCAGATGTTTGGCTATAAGGTTATATGAATGTGGACTTTCACGTATGTTTAAATGGCACTGTGTCGCACAGAAGTAAAAATAGCAAAGTATGTCAGAGCCTGCTTATTGTTTTGAGATATAGGCATTAAGTTAAGCTAATGCAAAAAACAAAAACAAAAATCCACCAATTAAGAGCCCTGCACTGTGACATTAATCGCAAAGTTCAACAATGAACACTATTTTTGGCAGAAGTTAGCCTTTGTTTGGATAGATGCCAGTGAGTCGCCTAAAAAGATATGCTCTAGCCATATGCTGTTCTCAGCTCCAACTTACCTCTTCATGATTCTTTGACAGTAAAGTTAATTCTTCTTTCATGTTATCAATCTGGCTCTCCAGATCCACCTTGGTCAAATTAGCATCATCAATCACTTTATAGAGAGAATTAATTTCATCTTCCACTGCCTTTCGGAACGGTTGCTCATTTTCATACCTGCAGAAGAAATGGACAGCATGTTGGGACACTGCAACCCAGAGCTCAGTCTTCTGGCAGATGCGTTTGTTACAGGGATAGGAAACCTGTCACCTTTCAGATGTTACTAGACTCCAACTCCCACCCTCCCCACCTGTCATATCCAGTGGTGATGGGTGTCTGGGGGGTGGCAGTCTGGGAAGAGGGCAAATCCTCTGACGCAAACACCAAGTTGTGAAACTCCCTCCTTACAGAGGCATATCTGGTTCATTCGCTATACAGTCAAACCTCGGTTGTCGAACGTAATCCATTCCAGAAGACCGTTCGACTTCTGAAATGTTCGACAACCGAGGCACCACTTCTGATTGGTTGCAAGAGCTTCTTGCACTCAAGCGGAAGCTGCATCAGACGTTCGAGTTCCGGAAAAACATTCGAAAAGCATTTACTTCTGGGTTTTCGGCATTCGGGAGCTGAAATGTACGATAACGGAGGCATTTAGGAACCGAGGTTTGAGTGTATAGCTTTCGGCAAATGCCGAGGACATATCTCTCTACCCTGGCCTTTGTCATCTGAGATGTGTGTTTTAAGGGACTATCCTATTCCTGTGACTGTAATCAGTTTTCACTGTTCTTAGTACTTAATCTTAAATTGTTGTAACGGCTGGTGGAGAGCAAGTAATGATGATTATGATAATATTACTAATGTACCACAGTCAAAAGCTCTGTCCCACTGATAGATGGCCTATGAATTGATTCCTTTCATTAGGATTAACCCCTCTACTATTATTCCCAGTCCAAATCTTTCCCCCTCTTCTCTCTCATATCAGTAGAGGAAGAGAAAATTGACCTACGAGAGATTACCTGTCCTTAACATCTTCGGCACAGGCTTGAATATTTTCTGTCTGTAACATAAGCCGGGCATTTTCCATGACTGCATCGCCGACCTAGAACAGTTGAAGTAGTCAAATATAAATAACAAATACAATCTGTATCCGGAACCAGGTCCTTCATTGGACCAGACTGAATTTCATCAGCTCTGGACACCTTGTTAATACTCAATAGATTTCTTGTTGGTTGATATGCGTTAACCAGTGGCTTCATGGGAGTCTTGTGAAAGAGCTGTGGCAGTGTAGGAAAAAAATTATTGGATTATCATGGTGAGCTATTGGGGGAAAGTGTCTTGCTGCATGACACAGTTGCCAGAAGGAGTAACTTTGAACAAGCTGGAGCTGGATAAAATTCCTATAAATTGTTATGGTGATTTGGAGGTTTAAACTGAAATCAAGCTGGATTTGAGTTTGTTGGTGTCTTTGATAACTTCTCTGTCTTATATCCTGGTTGTTGGCAAATTGGATTCTAGATTCACAAGGGAAACTGTTTTAATGCTTAGAAACTTGGCAAAGTTTTTTTTTAATATATTATGGATTATTATATTATGGATGTATATTCTGTACCATTTATTAATACTATTGCTTAAAGAAGTTTGTAATGGCCTTTGACTAGAATGATAAGCTTGTAAACTGAAATATGTTGATGATTACCGGTATTCGCTGGCATTGTTTCTACTTGTACGTGGCCATGGGAGCAAATGCTTAAAGGGAGGGTATCATATAGTTATTACAATATACTGTGAATAAATTTGCATATAGGAATGCAGTGGGTACCATCTTGAGAGTATAAAGGGCCGATGGCCAGTGTGTTGCAGTTTTTCTTCCTCTAACATGGTACTAGTTGGAGTGATAACATTTGGGGAGGGCAGTGGAATGGCATGGTGTAGGAATTATTACTTTTTACTATTGATAGGTACGGGTAAGAATTTTGATTATTTGCATTTAAAGGCAAGCCTACCTAGTTCTCAGTTTCAGAAACAATATGCAAACTGAAACAACCATCCTGCAAATTTTTCTCTGAATTTTGCAATGCAGTTCTCCAGCCAAGTAATGTGTACAAAAAGACATATACCAGTGTGAAGTGTGCCTAAAAATGCACATAATAGTAAAATAATAAAAGTGAAATAATAGTGAAAATAACATGGAATTATACATTATATTAGCAGGGATTGTTTTGTAAAATGGAGTCTATTAGTCAAAATTGCATTAAAAAAGTTTGTTCTGCTCTGCCGTTAGTGCTCCAACAGCAGTAATACAAAAAAGAGGAATTCCAGCTAGATGCTTCTCATGGTCCCTTCTAACTCCACAATTCGATGCTTCTATGATTCTGCAACATCCAAAGCTCCCCCCCCCAAGTCCCCATAATAGTGGGGGAAATTGCACCAGCCTGGAGCTAGTGTAGTTATTTTCTCCAGCCACCACTGGTCTTTCAGCCTGACTGGACCTAGAGCAGGCAGGATTTTGAATTTGGTGATTCCTCCGACTCGTATTATCCTTTCCCCTTCCTTTTAGCATTGCCCTGACAATGTGGTGCTTGCCATATGCAATCTTTATAAGTATTTGCATCGAAAACAGTAGTTGTTTTTTTTAAAAAAATCGTGCTGCCCAAACACTTTGTGCCCTTTAAAACATTTTCATCTATCAAATCCTGCAGCCTTATTTTAAATTCAGTCTTCCCACCTGGGATCCCCAGGGTTTGGAAATATGACTGAAGTAAACTATGTCAGGATTTTTTAAAAGGGAATTAAAAATATGCATTTTCACACTTTACAGCTTACAAAAATAACACTTTACATTTCCCTTGTGTAATACTAACTGCTTCAGCAGTAAACCTCTCTTGGGAGGGGGGACTGGAATTAGATGGAGATTTTTGTTAATTATTTTTCTCAGCTCACTTTCTTCTAAACTAGAAGGAAGGCTGCAATTTGTAACACCTTGTTCTCGGGTTCAGAGAGAAGTGCCATCTTTTAATTTGCTGCACTAACTGTACACAGCTGTCCTGCTGACTCTGGGGAATATTTTTTTATCAAAAAGCTCTCTTTGGACTGTTTAATAATGTAACCAGAATTCAAATCTCATGGGTCAATTCTCTCTCTTGCACACGTGCATACACACACACACACACACACACACGAGATTTGTAGCAGCTTCCCACAGCATCCACCTATGGTGGAATAGGCCTACAAGTTTTCAGCAACTGCAAACCACTCGCTCACAGGATTCATGCTGTTTCCTGCATGCAGATTTGGCCTTCTGCACAGCTAAGATTGCCAATTTCCTTTATCTGCATGGACTTAGGAGATTGCTTGGGGACACATCCACACCATACATTTAAAGCACTATGATGCCGCCTTAATCATGGCTTCCCCCAAAGAATTCTGGGAGGTGTCATTAAGAGTTTGTCGAGGGTGCTGGAGGTTGTTAGGCAGCCCATGTTCTCCTCCCCGAGCTACAATTCCTAGAGTGGTTTAACCATCCCTCTTCACAGGGAACTTTGGAGATTTGTAGAGGTGAATAGGGGTCTCTGCTCCCTTAAAAAACTGCAGCTCCCAGGATTCTTTGGGGGAACCCATGTCTGCTTAAAGTGGTATCACACTTTAAATGTATGGTGTGAATGTGGCCTGGGTCAGGGGACAAAACCTAGTGGTTTCTGTCTGTTCTGCCTGTAAAACCTGGTGCAAATTCTGCCTGCTAACCTAAGGGAGTGATGGGGAACCTGTGACCCTGCAGATGATGTTCCAGCAGCCCCAGCCAGGATGGCCAATGGTCATTAATAATGATGATATTATTTGTACCCCACCCATATGACTGGGCTGCCCCAGCCACTCTAGGCAGCTTCCAACATATATAAAAACATAAAGGTAAAGGGACCCCTGACCGTTAGGTCTAGTCATGGATGACTCTGGGGTTGTGGCGCTCATCTCTCTTTACTGGCCAAGGGAGCCAGCGTACAACTTCTGGGTCATGTGGTCAGCATGACTAAGCCGCTTCTGGCAAACCAGAGCAGCGCACAGAAACGCTGGAGCGGTACCTATTTATCTACTTGTAGTTTGATGTGCTTTCGAACTGCTAGGTTGGCAGAAGCAGGGACCGAGCCACGGGAGCTCACCCCGTCACGGGGATTCACGCCACTCCTTGGTATGTGGAGTACCTCAGGGTGCGATACTCTCCCTGATGCTTTTCAACATCTTTATGCGCCCCCCTCGCCCAGCTTGTTCAGAGTTTTGGGCTGGGTTGCCATCAGGATGCTGATGACACCCAACTCTATCTGTTGATGGATGGCCATCCTGACTCGGCCCCAGACACACTGACCAGATGTTTGGAAGCTGTGGCTGGATGGTTACGTGGGAGCCGGTTGAAGCTAAATCCTTCGAAGACAGAGGTCCTGTGGCTGGGACGGGGCGATATGGGATTGGGGGGGCAACTCCCATCTCTTGCGGGGACGCAATTAGTGCCAGCACCGTCCGTTAAGAGTTTGGGTGTAATCTTCGACACCTCCCTTTCCATGGAGGCGCAGATTGCAGCTATAACAAAGGCGGCATTTTTCCATCTCCGCCAAGCTAAGCAGTTGGCTCCTTACCTCTCTCGCCCTGACCTAGCCACTGTGATCCACGCGACGGTCACCTCCAGACTGGATTATTGTAACTCGCTCTACGTGGGGCTGCCCTTGAGACTGACCCAGAAACTCCAGCGGGTGCAGAATGCTGCAGCGAGACTCCTTACGAGGTCTTCGCTGCGAGATCACATTCACCCGGTGCTATACCAGCTGCACTGGCTCCCGGTGGAGTACAGGATCAGGTTTAAGGTGCTGGTTTTAACCTTTAAAGCCCTATACGGCTTAGGACCCTCGTACCTACGGGACCGCCTCTCCTGGTATGCCCCACAGAGAAACTTACGGTCCTCAAATAAAAACATCTTGAAGGTCCCAGGCCACAGAGAAGTTAGGCTGGCCTCAACGAGAGCCAGGGCTTTTTCGGCTGTGGCTCCGATCTGGTGGAACACTCTGTCACAAGAGACCAGGGCCCTGCGGGACTTGACGTCTTTCCGCAGGGCCTGCAAGACAGAGCTGTTCCACCAGGCCTTTGGCAAGGGCACAGCCTGACTCCCTCCTTGGGCAATCTTCGCGGAGCTCTGGCCCAATGGCTGCCAGTGGCTTGAATTATTTAATTTTAGAATGAATGGTTTTATAGTGTTGTTTATGCTGTACTTTTGTACTGTTTTATTGTTGTTAGCCGCCCTGAGCCCGGCTAAGGCTGGGGAGGGCGGGATATAAATAAAATTTATTATTATTATTATTATTCGAACCGCCAGCCTTCTGATCGGCAAGCCCTAGGCTCTGTGGTTTAACCCACAGCGCCACCCACGTCCCTTATATAAAAACATAATAAACCATTAAACCTTAAAAAGCTTCCCTATTTGAGGATGGGAGTTGCAACATCTGGAGGGCTACAGGTTCATTTTACAGAATACCCTTTAAAGAAGAAAGCGCCCCCCCCCCCCCCGCTTGTCCCTGCAGGAAGAAAGCCACCAAACTTAACTGGTTTGTTGAATTGCTTTATTAGAAAATTATATATATATACACAGCCTGACTGTTATGCCTCCCTCTTTTCATGTGCCTGTTCCATTGGCACTTTAACTTATTTGTGATAGCTACTATTTACACTGAGTTCTGCTGCTGATTTTGACTAGCTTAAAATCAACAAATTGTGGCTTGCTATTTAATACTTCATTATAGTGCTGTTTGTACTAATAAAATGAATTGTCAGGAATTTAGTATGGTTGTACTGATTGTTGAAACAGTTTGTTCTGTGATTTTGTTAGCTTTGTTTGAATAGCTGCTCTTTTTAGTTGAACTTGACTGCTGTGCAATGTTGTTAGGAGTGTTCATGCCTCGAGTCCCTTTGAGTGCAGCATATGCTGCAATAAGGCTTGTAAATCAGCCTTACTTGACTGGTAATGTGTGCCTCTAGAACAGTTTCTCCCTCACGCCATCCCACAACTTCTGGAAGCAGAGAGGCTTCACTCAGAATGTTTTCAGAATATGTAAAGACAGCAATCCAAGCCTCTGAGGATTTTACAGAACTTCATTTCTGTCTGGGCATATTGGAAGGCGGTGGACCCAGAGCAATGACTCCGGCAGAGACGCAACAGGCACCCACCTCTCTGGGCCAGTAATGTTGCTATAACTCTGCATTGGGGCACAGTGGTGCACAGCAGAGACTAGTCCATTAGGGTGAATCGGGCACTCCCTCACCAACCTCAGTCTGTCTGAGGTTCAGGGGGATGCAGTACAGTGGTGCCTCGCAAGACGAAATTAATTTGTTCCGCGATTTTTTTGTCTTGCGATTTTTTTCGTCTTGCGAAGCACGGTGTCGGAAAAGTTTTGGAAAAGCTTCAAAAATCACCAAAGTCTTCAAAAACCTCAAAAAAGGCTACCACACCGCGTGCTATGAGTTGCTCCTCGAAGTCAAGTCGCAACTGTATTAACGGTGTTAAGAAAAAGGAAACAAACTTGCAAGACGTTTCCGTCTTGCGAAGCAAGCCCATAGGGAAAATCGTCTTGCGAAGCAACTCAAAAAACCAAAAAACCCTTTCGTCTTGCGAGTTTTTTGTCTTGCGAGGCATTCGTCTTGCGAGGTACCACTGTAACAGCCACCTTCCTCTTCATCAGTCACCCTCCTTTTGTGGCATGGGTATTCCTTTTGCATTCAGAATGCACAACATCGTTGGCAACAAAACGCCAGCCCTTATTCCCCACCCCCACCCCGCCTTCCAATTGAATCTAAATTTACCCCTTTCTGTGGAAAATCAAGTAAGTTTTAAAAAGCATTGCCAGTAATAACCCATTTGTGATATCTATGCAGCCCATTTACAGTACAAGGCACTCTTACCTCCCTCCCCGTAGTATTATTATTAATTTAATTTATATACTGCCCTATACCCGCACGTCTCAGGGCAGTTTACAGGATTGCTTATAGGACTGAAGCCTTTTAAAATAATAGCAATAATAATGAACATTAACATTTTATATGTGAACAGGACTGTGTTGAGAAGATGAGTGTACAATGATTTAACATAATTTACACATAATTGACATAATTATTACACATAATTATCTAGGAAATGCACCTGACAGTGAGATGCTATGGAAGCCTATTTAGAAGTAAGTTCAATTGGATTTATTCTTGGGTTAGTTTAGCGTGTATAGGCTAAGTGCAGAGTTATGATTCAAGTATTTTACTGCTTGCATGGAAAGTGGTGCTCTTAGTCCCAGCTGAATTAATCCAGAATAATTGAGGACTTTCCTATTTCTGTCTCGTGGGGGTGGAGTGGAAAGAAGTGACCGGAGGGTGTGGTGCCCACATCACAATTTGAGCATTCCAAATGTGTCCATGGGCCCTCTGACCCCTTAGCCTGTTCACCAAAACATTCCCAAGAAATTGTATTAGAGTAGAGCAGAAGTTTTCAACCTTTTTGAGTCCACAGTTCCCTTGACCAACTGCATTCTTTCTGCGGCCCCCCCTGTGGGGCTCAGGAGGCCAGTTGTGTCACCCCTTGCCTGCAGAGCTAGCAGCCCCTCACCCCTTTTTGAACACCCTCCCTTGTGGAGTGCTCCCTCAGCCTCATCTCCTCTCCCCTCTCCTTGGAGTCCTCTGGGCAACCTCAGTGGCCTCCCCTGGTCTCTGGGCTGCCCCCCCCCGCCTCAAAGAGACAGGCCTCCTACACTGCCCCGCAGGGGCCTGGAAAGCACCCCCTGGCCAGACCCAGAGGCACCATTCGCCTGGGGAGCTCGTAGCCAGGGCTGCTGCAACAAACAGCTGTGCAAGCCTTTGGGAGGCAGAGATGTAAGAGGGCATCAGAGGAAGGGAGGGAAGGAAAGAGGGGCAGAGGCCAGTGTTGCCCACGGCACCCCTATCATTCAAGGTACCTCAGGATGCCATGGCACACTGGTTGAAAACCATTGGAGTAGAGGCATCCAGGATTTCAGTAGTTCCGCAAGATCTACAAGGTGACCATAGTGCTGCAGCAATGTTGATTCGATATAGGTGTGCCTTCCTAGTCTTTGTAGGGTCATAATTTTTTATTTATTTTGCCCTTTTGCCTCTTGCAGTATGTATGATCATGCTTTAATTTCATAAGATATTTGGGTTGTGTTGGGAGGTTTTTTTTTAAGGCAGTTTTATAAAATGGGTAAAAATGTCCACAAATTTTAGGTGAAAAAAAGTCTTTTTTTGTTTGCAAAGACCTTGACTGAAAAGTTCCCCTCCGTGCTAAACGTTGCGTAAGGGGTGGAAGAAAATAAAAATAAATAAAATTAGACCTTGCTTTTGGAAAATATGATGAATGAAAGCAGCAAATACCACTCAGATGGTATTTCCTCATTACAAACAGCATCATGCTGGCAATGAGATAACACCAAGAGGATAAACTCGCTGTTTTGGCAGCGTTTCTTTCGTAGTTTTGCTCCTAAATGTAACGACTGCTCTGAAGAGAATTGGCTGACTATGCCAAAGAGGGGAGAGAGAGCTTTCCATTCTTCCCCTCTTGTGCATGAACCTCCTCAGGGCAATTCCCATACATAATGCATTCCCTACACACACACACACACACAGTGAAATGATGTTAATTACCATGAAGATAAAAATTAAAATGTGCTAGGCAGGGTAGCTCTACCCTAGCACGAGGCTGCGTTCTTATCATTGGCATCAGAAACCCTTTGTTCTGGTTAACGATTCGTTCGTCTTTGTCTTTCTTGCCAGTTTTCATACTCACTTGGTGGTAGATGGTCTCCCAGCTCTCTCTCAGCGCTCCCCAGTTGTTGGCGCTGGAAGATTTCTTGTTCAGGTAAACACGGATGCGGTCTTCGAGCTCCTGGTTGACCTGCTCTAAAGCTCTCACCTTTTCAATGTAGTCCACCAGGCACCCATTCAGACTCTCGTAAGATAGGCCCCGTCCTCTTTCCAGCCCCTGGGGCAGTGGGACAGTAGAGCAAGAGCTACGGAGGCCTTGTAAGAAGACGCTGCTTATACCCAGAGCTCTGCGGGACACCCGGGTGCCCAGGCTGCTGACACCTCCTGTTGGCACAATTCCCACATAAACCCCCGACGGCCTTGACAGGCTGCCTGCCCCACCAATGCTAACCCTACGGCTGGCGGTGCCCACGCTCTCCGCTGCAGACGTAGAGGGCTGCTGCCCCAGAAAGGAAGCCCTGCGTCTTGTGAAGGGCATGCTGCACCTCGGACTGCCTGCACTAAATGAGCAGCCTCTTCCCTACGTGCCCCTCTGCCGCCGCTGCTGCTGCAGTTGGCGGTTCGAGATCTGCAGAGCGAAGCAGGATTTGGAGGGGGGCTCATTATCTGTGCTCTGTCCCGAGAGCTTCTGGGACATTTCTCATTGTCTTTGGCTGCGTACCACAGGCGTGTTTGTTGGGAACAATTGTTCGGGCCTTTCCCCTCGGTCAGCAATCTATTTCATGAGAATGATCTGTCTGTTGCAAGAGCAGCACATGGAAAGGACAATGTGGTCCAGAGCCTCAATTTGGGCTGGGTAGAGGGCGAGGAGAGATAATTTCTTCCACGTTTAAATGCTGCTTTTCTCTGGGCTTCCAAATGCAGGGTTTACGTGTACTGGCATGAGTCCAGCTTGCAGAGATGCCTCTTATATGCCAGGAGCAGATCTAGCTGAATTTAAGCGAGCAGCACTGGTTGTACCGTCCCATCTGATCCTGAGCATCAAAAGGCCTCCTGGCTGTTGACACATGAATGATCATTTTTGAAAAGTAGAGTAGAAGCTTGAAGCAAACTGGCCTGCTACCACGTTGTGTGTGTGTGTGTGTGTGTGTGTGTGTTGCTATTGTAAGTTTCTATGATTGACAGGGACGACCCACCAGTCTAACACTTTCACAGTGATAAGAAAGCAATAAGTAAGTGAAAACTGGCCAATTCTTCATTAAGTCTCTTGTCACTTATTCTGGAATTCCTTCATATTTTTGCTGGTGACAGAAGCACAAAATACATTCCCACCCACATAAATACATTGATCATGTGTGATGAAGGGAACAGGCAGGAGTTGGACTTGGCTCCAAATTCAGCCCTGGTCTTATTTTATGGGTGCCTCATCTCTAGGCCTTAGCTCCACATCTCTAAAATGGGAATAACAATCTCCCTCATTTGGTTGTTGTAAGATCAGATACAATGAAAACTGAAAGTGTAGCCTTTGTAAATAAAAATTATAAATAGTACAGGAACAACCTCGCTTGATGAGTCCCGAACCCTCTTAGTTTTGCAGACCAAAGTGCTCAAAAGAAAGCAAGTTGCTTAGCAGTGTTTGAGACTGGCAGAAAGGGCAGTCAGGAAGACTCACTCTAAAGAACATGATAAAATTAGCTTAAAATCTGTAACAACACAAAACGTCCAGCAAGATGTAACTAAAAGCTGATTTAGAATCAGAGCCAAATAAAAATTGGATTTTGGAAGCTGTTGGGAAGGCTGGCATAACAATTCCATCGAGCCACGCTGTCAGAGGCTCACCAAGTGGAATGCCACAAATATTCTCTGAGCCTGGCTGCCTATCTGCCTATATGGCAGAGCGTGGAGTCTTGCCTGGCTTGTCAGCCCAATCCCTTAATGCTCAGAGAATGCTCTGTCAGCACGCAGTTTAGTCACAGCACAATGTTTTTGTGGAAGAGGGATAGCTGTCTTTTTTGTTCCATGGCTCAACTCAAAAGAATGCTAGGCTATAGCCTAGTATATCAGCAAAGGCTCCTGCGCTTGCTCAATCTTGTGAAAGGGAGGAGAGAAGGGAACAGAGAATGATGTGCTAAAAAAAACCCCCTCGCTTGGTTACATGCAAGTGGAGTACAAATTAAAAGCATCTAGCAAAGGCGACAAAAGGAACTGGTTCAGCAGGCGTTTTTGCTTAGAAATCACTTTTATTTTATAAAGCTGGAGTTTGGTCTGTAAAGTTTTTAATCACACTTATAAAAAAGAGGTCGATAATTCTTGTGGGGTGGGGGGAAGCTCAAAAGGTTGCTCATAATTCAAGGTTACACAAAGGTTATATTTATAATATATATATTTATATATATATATATAGATTTATATATAGATTTTGGAGACAATGGAGATTGGACTGCAAGTACAAGTCATATTTCGGACACTTGCTCATGTCCTGCAAATAGCGTTTCTTGACAGAAAGGGTTAACAAGGACCATGCCGGTGTCCCTGTAATCACCATTAGCTGGGGAGCGCGGCTCAGACAGGTGGTCCTACAGGGAAAAAGGGGTCAGGGGAGAGAAAGGGAAGAAAATATTAAGCTTCAGAAACACAATAAGGGACAGTCAACATGGTAGAATTTGCACTGGCAGGACAAAGTCTTGAAGAATATCCAGTATCCAGTCAACCAATGGTTCAGTATGGCCAAAGCAAAGCTTTAAAAAATGTAATACTTAGGATTCACTGGTCTGAGCTAAAAGCAGTAGGGTGAGACAGAAACATCAGTGTCCCCTTAGAAAAAGGTGGTTCCTTTATACCAAGAATTGGAGGCCTGTGACTTTCCAGATGTTGCAGTTCTCCAGCTCACATTAGCCCCATGCAACTTGGCCAAAGGTCAGGGCTGATGGGAGTTGTAGTCCAAAAAAGATCTGGTGTGCTACAGGTTCCCCATTCCAGCTTTGTTCATTTGAAAAACGTGGAATTGTATAATTGGTTAGGTGGATCGTCCATCCTAGGTGATGAAATCAACTGTGACTGCTGATTTTCATTTCATGTCCTTTTTGTGAACATTCTAGCAGCTGAAAAATCTCTCAGCAGCAAATTGTTCATAAATAGCCCAGCTTCTAGGAAGAAAGTATGGAAACCCTCACATAGAGATTGGGATAGCAGGGGAAGGAGGCAGGAAAGCTTAATGGCAGGATAGTGGCTGAAACAAACAAAAAAAGACCGAGCAGGTTATCAACTGAGAAACAGAACCTGAGGGAAGTGTGGAGAAACTGGAAACCAAAAGAAAAGAGGGGGGAGGGCATAGATATACAGAGCAAGGAGTGGGAACCTGTGGTGCTCTAACAACAAGGACCACAGGTTCTCCATCCCTGTATAGAGAGAGATGGGGCTGTAGGGAAAATCTGAGAGAGAAGGTGGTTTGGACGGTGTGGAGAAGATAAGAATGAAACTGGGTCAATTGAGATGGCTAACGGAATTGGGACAGAGAAGTCAGTGGGGCTGGGGCAAAACGCCCCTTGGTGTGAGGGTAGCCATTTATGCACCCAAAAAGAGGGCCAAAGAGGACATTTATTTGCATATGCTACATAATGGAGCAACATAATGGGAGGGGGGTTTCCAGCTACCCCACCCTTTGCCCTTGGAAGCCTTGTAAGAAGCTGCTGCAGGAGAGGGACTGTGGCAACCTCACGGGAGGCGTGTTCCTAGGACCAAGGGGAAACTGTGACGCTCCCTTGTTTTTGCTATTGGATGCTGGGTGTTGTTTAACTTTAAGTAATACTGTTATATGGGTAGCATTGAAATGTGTTTTTTGGTATGCTGTTCTATTTGTCATTGTTTTGCTGTGTCATTATTTAATTTTTTGTGGCATTTGCTTGAGATGCACACCTGTTTCTTTGTAGCATGCTGCTTTGAGCATATATATTTTTCTTGTGGAAAAGTGGCATACAAATTGAATGAATGAATGACTGGATGAGATGCAAATTTAGAAGCAATTTGAATAGAAATACAATTCCTCAGTATAGTGAGAAAGATGTGACCAGGTGTACCAGCTCAGTCTGTTGTCCAGTGCTACAGATGGGTCACTTCAAGGCCCCTGGTCTCCATTTGTTCTTTATTCTTAAAAGGATTTGGACTCAGCTCTTTGAGTCGAGTACTCTCCTCTGTAAAGTAGGACACAAGGCCACCCTGTCTTGGTCCAGGAGGAGTCTATATGCTGGTAACAGGAGGGGCATCAACAGAAATGGGAAGCCAGACACTATGTGCATGGAAGCCAAGAAGGCATGTTTGCAAAGAGTAGCATCTGAGGGGGTCCATGTGCCTTTCAGAACCGCTTAAAAGGGAAAGTTCTCCCAGTTACCTCTCCTATCATTAGGGCCCTGTGAGTTCACAACGCTGTGTGTGAGAGCCAAGCAGAGTGGCTAAAATCCGCTTGTTGATATGAACTACCTGGGAGGTTCACTGCCAACAGAGTTCAGATCTTACCTCTGAGATTTCAAGGGACTGTATCTCTCTGGGTAATTCTACAGCATGCCTGTTGAAGTAGTCCATAGTGATAGCATTGTTCCAATAGCTCAGGTTGGTTTCTGGGTTTGATGTCTTCTTCTTTCTCCGCATGCAGCAGATGGTGAGCAGGACAGCTGTTAACACAAACATGTTTGAGAGTGTGCTTGTGCAACAATGGGAAATTAGTTGGCGGTGGCTTGCGTAATAGACTGTATATTGTAATAGATTACCCCCCACTGTCTGTGGGTTGCATGCACAGATCTATGAAAAGTTCACATTGTGGTTCATGTACCACTTCATGCAACATTTGATGAATTAAGAACACCACGCAAGACCACCTAATGTTTTCACGTTCTGAATCAAAGAGATATAAGAATACAAGAAGTCAGAGCAATCTAGGCCACCACACCCTGCTTCTCACAGTGACCCAACTAGATGCCTTTGGGAAGCTCCCAGGAAGGACAAAAGCACAGTTCTCTGATTCAGGACAGAAAAAAATGAAGTGCTTCTTCATGCAGCACTTAGTGGAATTCCATCCCAGAACAGGTAGTTAGACACCAACTTGGATGGCTTTAGAAGAGGCAGATTCATGGAAGACAAGGCTATATTCTACCTCCCCTGTTGGAGGCAGTATGCTTCTGAATGCCAGTTATGGAGTACACAGGTGAGAAGACTGCTGTTGTGCTCAGGTCCTCCTTTTGGGCTTCCCATAGGCATCTGGTTGGCCACTGGGAGAAGAGGATGCTAGACTGGATGGGCCAGACCAAAACACACAATTGCTTGTTCCCTTCCTGCCTTTTGAATCAGTGGCTTTGGAAACATACAGTGGAGTATTTATCCAAGGTGTGTTGTTTGTAATGAAGCAAACTGCTGACAACGCTCGACACTGTTTCTGTAGTCCAAAGGGACCAGTGTGTACTGCTCTTGTTCCAGCTTGTTTCCAGGAAATACACTCAAAAACAGAGTAATGGTGTTTTTCAAACTTGGGTCCCCAGCTGTTGTTGGACTACAGCTCCCATCATCCCTGATCACTGGTCATGTTAGCTAGGGATGATGGGTGTTTTAGTCCAACAATAGCTGGGGACCCAAGTTTGGGAAACACCCGTGTAATATGTAGAATTTATATTATAACTTTAATGGTGGAAGGAGGGAAAAGATTACTTAAAGCCTTTCTCCTCCAGCCATTTTTCTGTTTGAAATTCAGTGCAGCTGTTTTTCCAGCTGTGGGAAGAAAAAACGTAACTCTCCCCACCCACTGGTGGAAAAGCAGCTGGGAAGGGGGGATGCAAGTGGAGAATGGGCAGAAGGAAAGGGGTTAAGCTGCCTCTCCTCCCTCCTCACCATTCCTTTCCATAGCTGCTTTTCATTAGAAATCTGTTGGGCTGCTTCATGTACCTGCTGTGTAATGCTTGGCCCAAATACCGCTCTCAGTCTTAGTAGTATCAGAAGTCACGTGTTCCATTCTAATTTCATAAGCATCTACGATTCTCTGGATAACACAGCACACAGCCAAGGCTAAGCCTTGAGTTAATATTACCAGCAGGGCCACTATAATCAGGTCTCACAGCAGGCTCCATCCTTAACACAAAATACTGAGAGAGAGTGCAGGCATAATCGTATCTGTTTTGATTTGGATCAAGAGATGTCTTATCTTCTTATTACCACTGAAAAAGCTTCAAAATCTGGGCAATTTCATCTAAGCCAGTCATAATCACTTCGCTAGGCTAGTCATCCTCTTTTGCATTGCGTAGCTGTGGGAAATCATATGGGTAGGAACTGCATGTTAGCTGCACAATATTAAATCTGCCCTGCCTACTGTCTTCCTGTGATGTTCATCAGGTGTCATGCCTTTAGTGTGGCAGCACCTGTGCTTTGGAACTCCCTAGGCAAGTGCCATCATTGGACTCTTTGAAACGCCTGGTGATAATGTTGCTGTTTCGGCAGGCCAAGTCAGACACACAATCGGTTGCATGTTTGATTGTGCTTCACTGTTTTTAGATGTTGCGTTGACAGCTTTTAAATGTTTCAAATAGGTTTTTATTTTATTTTTCATTGCATTGTTTATTATAGATATGTTTGCTGCCCAGGGCTCCTTTGGGAAGAAGTGCTGGGCAGAAATCTGATAAATAAATCAACGCTAGCATACTAGCACGGGCACAGGAAGCAGCTATTGCTGCTAAAAGTCTCGAGGCTTGTTTCCTGTTGGGCGATACTGGCAAGACATTTCTGCATCTAGTGAAGTTTAAACACCACTGTGAGCTTCTCCTTTGTTACTGGTTGTAACAATCAGTGGGCCTCTAGGCACACATGCAAATAGGAGAAGCTGTCGTGGGCACCACGTCGCACCCACACCATACATTTAAAGTCAAATTAATGCCCATGTAAAGCACAGGGTTGGGACGCGGGTGGCACTGTGGGTTAAACCACAGAGTCTAGGACTTGCCAATCAGAAGGTTGGCAGTTCAATTCCCCGTGATGGGGTGAGCTCCCGTTGCTCGGTCCCTGTTCCTGCCAACCTAGCAGTTCGAAAGCACGTCAAAGTGCAAGTAGATAAATAGGTACCGCTCCGACGGGAAGGTAAACGACGTTTCCGTGCGCTGCTCTGGTTCGCCAGAAGCAGCTTAGTCATGCTGGCCACATGACCCAGAAGCTGTACGCCGGCTCCCTCTGTCAATAAAGCGAGATGAGCGCTGCAATCCCAGAGTCGGCCACGACTGGACCTAATGGTCAGGGGTCTCTTTACCTTTAAAGCACAGGGTTTCCCTGCAAAGAATCCTGGGAGCTACAGTTTATCCCTCGAAGAGCTACAATTCCTTTCACCCTTAAACTACAGCCCCCAGGGTTCTTTGCGGGGAAAGCCATGTGCTTTAAATGTATGGTGTGAATGTGACCCTATGTCTAATGGCTGCAAGAGAATGCTTCTTACAAGCCTGATTTCAGTTGGACCCTGTGGGTGCCAGTGATGGCCTCTGGGCGCATGAGCACCCACAGGTGCCAAGTTGGTGACCCCTATGTTACTCTAGTTTCCCACTTATGCAACCAAATTGCAGGGTCTCTATTAGCCTGGGAAATAATGGGTTGAATTCTGGGAGGAGAGCCTTCAAACAGAAGTGCTTACTCCGGGGAAACTTTTGAACCATGACTCTGCATTGTTCTGTACACCAATTATCTAAAATAGTGATTATGAAAGCTTTTTATTTACATTTATATTCTGTCTTTCCTTCAAGAGACTCAAAGTAGCATTCATGATTTCCCCACCTCCTTTTACCTTCCCAACAGCCCAGTGAAGTAGGTTAGGCTCAGAGACAGTGACTGGCCCAAAATTTCTCAGTGAGCTTCAAGGCTGAAGGTAAAGTTGAACCCAAGTACCGCCCCCACCCCACCCCCCGCTCGGCTTAGCCCAATGCTCTAACCATTATACCACATACTTGCTCTTTCAAAGAAAAGATGTAAAAAAAACAGCTTTAGGGACGGGTCCACAGAATATAAAACACATCTATTCTTGATGCAATATCCAACAGCTAGGCTGTTAGTTACATGGGCAGACTAAACAGACCCTGTGAAAAAGGCACGTTCCTTTCTCTCTAGGAGCTTCTTAGTCCAAGGAAAACAATTCAAGAACTACCCAAGAGCCATACTTTTTATCTTAGATTTGTAAATTTTATAATGAAATGATTTTATAATGAAATGATTTTAGAATGTTGTATCATTTTACTGTTGTTAGCCTCTCTGAGCCCTGGTTCGGCGGGATATAAATAAATTATTATTATTATTATTATTATTATTATTATTATTATAAAAATATTGGCTGGTGAGGTGGGGGGAAGCAAATGCTGGTAGGCCAAAGACCCTTTGAATAGTTTGACAACTAAAGCCACTGTAAATAACTCTTGTTGCACACTAGGTTCCGCTTGTGACCTTCCCATCGGCATTTAGTTGGCCACTGTGAAAACAGGATCTGGACTACATGTGCTAGGAGGTTTCTTTGTATCTATGCATAGCATTTTTAGCCCACCTTTCTCACAAGGAGCTACCCATTTTATCCTCACAAACAACCCTCTGAGGTAGGCTAGGCTGAGAAGTGACAATTGGCCAAAGGCCACCTCATGAACTTTGTAGCTGAGTTGGATTTGAATTCCGGGCTCCCAGGTCTTAGTCTGGGACTAATAACCACTAACCCCACGGTGCTTTCGAACCACTATACCCCACTGCTAATCAGGGATTCAAATGAACATTTCCCACCTCACAATATAAATTATGGACGTTTTACCAGTGCATAGGGGGTCAGAGTTCTGTTTAAAGTAACAGGGAGCACTGGGGGGGGGGAGGCTGTTAATCAGAACAGTTGATTTAGTTCCTGCTTTATTCAAAGGAAAAGGTGTGTGTCTGCTACAAATCTCTTTGTTGAATTAATAGAAATATAGTTATTACTCCTGTCACATTCAAAATTGCAGGCTATTATACGCCTATCACAATGCTTAAGACGGGCTCTTTGCTTCCATTTATCCGGTGCCATTCATTTAATTCCTACTGTACAAATCTTAGTCCCCAAGCAAACAAACAGATGTGTAGGCAAGAAGTCCCAGGGTGGCAATGAAAAGCACTTGGTACGTAAGTGCCCACTTAGAGAAGAATTCATCCCCTAGAATTGATCTTCTTTCAGGGCTTATTTATGCGGTTGCTGTTGAGTCAGGATCAACAATATTTGGAATGACAGCCCGGGGTTCTTAGGAAATGCCCTTTTAACTACATCTTGCCTTTGCTCCAAGGAGATCAAGGCAGCTTACACGGGTCTCCCCTTCCCCATGTTATTCTAGCAATCATCGTGTGGGGCAGGTTATATACTGAGAGAGAGAATGACTGGCCTGAGGTCAGTCCCCATCTTCATAAACCACTGTGCTAAGTCATACCCATCTACTCAAGTCACTTACTGTGCATTGCATGGGGTTGGACTAAATGACCCTCATGTCCCTTCAAACTCTTATGTGTGCCAATAGTGCACAGCCATAGCTTGTCTTTTGTAGATGGTGCAGTTTTCGGTTCTTAAGCAACAGCACTCAGAGAATTCAGATCACTTTTAGTATAGATGATTTGTGTGCCTTCTGCCCTCAAAGAATCCTTATATTAGGCAGAG